GGCTGTCTTCACTGGCATAGGCAATCCATGCAATATTTCTGTCGGGTTAGGGTTACCAAGGAGCACCAAACCATATCCATTATTTCATGTACATAGAATTTTGTACTATATCATATCTGCTGGATCAGTGTCTATTCATGCCAAAAACAATATACATTGTAATAATATATAGATCATATTTCACTTAGAATTAAAAGACATACTGTGCACAAATGTTGATTGTGACAGGGAAACACACATAGTTTCACAGATATACAAAAGTTGATAGAGAAAATGAAGCAAATTTGGAGCAGGACTGTGAGAAACTCCTCCAAAGTACTGGTAGTTGTTTTCATCTCACAATATTATACTGTAGGCCAAATTAATCTGGATTCACTTGGGTTGGTGATGTCAGTGCACCTCAAAGCAGCTGACCAAACAAGGAGTAGACCAGTACTGACGCCACTAGCATGCTATAACTTTCTCTGGAAGACAAGTAATTTATACAAACAAATTCAATAAAGTACAAAGTAAGTGGATGGGATTAAGTTTGTCACTTTAAAAGAATAAAGCAACGCATCTATAAGAGTCATTCATCTGCCTCACACAAGACACAGGCCTTGAAAGGAGTGTACACTGACCAAGATAAAAAGTTACGTCATCCCTGTCTTCTCAGTGGGATCCTGGCCACTCTCTCTGTAAACAGTTTACCAAAGACGGTCTGTTTATTAAAAAATAGATAAATAAATAAGGTGTATACAAATTCTAGTTTTCGTCATTGGTAACAGTTAGTTACAAAGTCTAATCTTTCTGAAGATTCACAGGTCACACTTTTTTACCTCCTTACTTGGAAAACCACAAAAAATAGAGTTTGATCAGAGAGACATGTGTGTCTAGACCCTGTAAAAACAGCTGAGGGTAAGTGAGTGGACAACACAGTGGAATGACAGATTCATCCCACAGTTATCACAGTTGGGATCAGAACCCAAAGATGAGCCAAACAGTGGATAGCACAGCGAGAGGAAAGGAATGAGAAACGCTGGAAAAAGGAGATGTCCCACAGCAGGGATGAAGGGCAAGGGTCAGACAAAAACAAACTGATCGGTGCAGAGGCGTCAGGTCATCAACAGGCTACCAGTTTTGGGGGACACCAAAGCCCTCATATATTACTAGGTTTATGACAACATTTCATGATACATGGTGCAGAAAGCAGCAGTAACAAGTAAAAGTAGAAAACAACTACAAGTTCACTACAGTTGGCTTGTCATTTCCCAGTATCAGTACCCTCGCAATGCACTGCGTTCTGGAGCCACCTCATGCCCCACCGGACAGTAGATGAGAGATGCAACTTTCACGAGTTTCAAATCTCATTATATTAACGCTGTAATGCCACTATTTGTAAGGTTTGAAAATGTCTAATTTACCTATCGTTTTCCATTGTTGCATTTTATAGTCTGACCAATGAGTCCAGTGTGGCAAAGACAACGCACAATCTTTTTCTTCTTCTTCTTTTGTATATAATAAGATGGTTATCTCAGTGTGCTGTTGACTCATGTACCGTGTTTTCATGGCCTTCTGTTCCAGGCATGGGGGACAGTACTCTGCTAGGGCTCTGGGTGAAGGTCCCCATGTTCGACCTACCAGGCGGCTGAGGAGTGAGACCATTGCTGTTGGCCTTCACTTCACCCAGGTATTTCTTGTAAGAGAGTGTCCAGTTCAAGTGCTTGGGGGGCTTGGAAATTGTTTCCGACATTCATGTTCAGATTGCTTCCTGGTTGTAGAGGTGGTAAGCTGCAGACACTATTTAGCCCACGCTGAATTGCTGGTGGCCCTTCTGTAGGTAGTCCACATGGCACTAAGTTGTCTGCATGGCCAGACTAGTTAGAAGTTGTGTTTAGCTGGTCTACAATATAGATGTTAAACAACATTGGTGAGAGGACTGAGCCTCTTCTCTGGCCATTGCTGGTTGTCAGGAGATGTAGTGCCACATAGTTTCATGAGCCTCAAGCACTGTTCCGATGAACATACTTTAAAAGAACTATTACATTACAACAAACAAATAATGATCATAGAAATATGATCTATTATCTGAATGTTTTGCTTCAAATGAACTTGATGATCCTGAACTAATCATATCTGAAGAGTGGGGGAGGGCTGCTGACACATTGCTATGAAAACATTTCTGGCATTCATCTTGGAAGCTTCAGCATGGACGAAGCACAGTATTCTTTTATTTTTTGCCAATTTGCATGAACATACATCATGATTGAGACATATCTGTATGCGTTCATCTTTTTCCTCATATATTCATATCAAGATAAGCACAAACAAACAACAGCCGACGAGTTTATTTACCATGTGTAAATTATTTAACATAAACAACAAGCCAGAGCTGATGTGGGTGGGTTTATATGATCATAACCTTGGGCTAGAGTTAGCATAATCTTTTGCAGACATTTCAACAATCATGAGTAATAGATTATGTATATTGCATCACAACAAGTGTATAACATGTACTAGTTAAGGTAAAGTTTGACACATTGATGGCTGAGTGGAGACAGTAACTTCCAATATTTCTTTTTTTTTGTATCATTTCCAATATCTGAGAACTGACTGATTTAATCAGCTGTTCCATAGTCAGAAGATAAATAGACAGACTCAATGCAACATATTACTAATACTGCATAGAATATGTATTTAGTGGCAATGAAACAGGCCAGAGCCACAAAGCAAAAGTTGGCTCTGTTGGATATTCCATTACAAACAGCCTGAATGAATCTCCTGGTACGACTCAAAAAACTAAATTTTGCCAAGTCTTGCAAGAACTAACATGGAGGAGGAAAGACATGTCATTTCAGTTTTACATATTCATTTAACATAGACAAGTGAGTGACTGAACCAAGAGACAACACATGACATTGCTTTGCAACCTCATGAAGAAAAGTGAGTGTTTGTTTTTACTTTCTTTTTCACTTCTCCATTTTCCACTATAGTTTTATTTTGATCCTCTCCTTTCACATCTTCTCAGCGTTCCCCACAACCACTTTTTTCTTATAACTATGCGTCCCTCTTTGACTTGATTGATGCTGAGCACAATGATTGACAGTGAGGTATGTACACCACATACTGTATGTTCATATATGTAATGTATACACATTACATTAGTATTTGGTACACTTATCTCCCTAACAGCTGAAAGATAATTCCAACATTTGTCAATTGTAAAACATAATTCTTAATTTTCAACAATCCATACCAAATACATTTTTCATTTATGATAGATATAGACATGGGAGATATGATTAACGCTAGACACAGAGTTTGACTGGCCGCTGAAAAATGACATAAAAACAACTTTTTACAAAGGCAGGCCAAGTGGATTTGATACCACAAATAACAGTTGTTATTACCCATTAATAGTTAATAACAGTTGGTAAGGGTGTGCATTGTTTGTGTCGTATCGGAGTACAATATATGTGACAATACGATACAATGCAATATTGAAATTTATCAACTTTAAAAAACTAGTTCTTGGGTTGATACGGGAATGTTAAGTGCAGGACAAGTAAAACTCTGCATTGAACAATGTAACCTTGTAACCCAATATAAAGGTTTAAAATATATATTGTTTAATGAGACACGCCAATCCCAGGAATATACATCACGATACATGCCACAAAACATGTTCTTTTGTTTCCTATCTGTTATTTGTAATGTTGTTATTATATTATGTGTAGAGCAACTACATCCAGCTACAGTGTTGTCCCCATCTCCTGTAAAAGCACTTTACAGAAAGATAAAGAATGGCAAATTCTTTATTTGTGAATGCTAGAAATATGGGACTCAAAAAATAATCATGAACAATGTAACATGAGTTCTGTGTGTCCTTTCCTGCCCATAAACGTAACATGATTTGTGTCATACAAAGGGCATGTTAATAATTGATAAGCAAAGTGACTGAGTTCGATCAATGTGCAAACTATAAAACACTCAAAACAGGTCAATGAGTTCAACAAATGTTTGTCGAAGAAGGTGTCATGCTGAATATGAGTATGCGCCTCTAGTGTGGTTAAACAGGTTGTCATTGTGTCCAAATCCGACAGCTTTTCTCTCTAAAGAGCATCTGTTTCCTGCTAAAATGACAGCGTAAAACAGGGTTCAGGAGGATTGCCCTGTGGATAAAGCCCTTTAAATCCATCTCTTCCTCTCAGGAGGAAGAGAAAGAGCACACATCAGCCCCTGTCCTTCTCTTGTCAGGAGCCTACAGCCTGACACAGCTTTTCCCATTCAATACCTCACAACACATGGGCCATTTGAGGCCAGCAACCCTCCCAGCGTTATGGATTACAATGTAGAAATGTGCATTTGAGGGACAAATGCAAACCTAAGGTATGGAGGCGAGGAGGTGACAGAGACACTGCAAGAAAGAGTTACTTGTGGCTGCAGGAGTCACCACCATGACCATGAGAAGAGTTTGTTTGATGTAAATTGCAGCAGATGTTGAAAAAACAAAAAGTAAGTGCTTCTAATCATGATGGTCCATTAGAATCGCTGAAAGGAATGACTTTTATGGGTTTGCATGAGAACAACACCAAGTGATATTATGTGGCTGGAATGGTCGCTTTTGAGAAGAGGCCAGAAAAACGAAGAGGGGAGATTCAAGCTTATTGTGTTGTCACCAACACATGGCAAAGTCAATCGAGCATTAACTTGATTTTTTATGGTTCCTTAACTGTTATTGTTTTCCTGTGCTTAATGAACATATGATAAAATGAAGAGTTGATTATGTTACTTGATGATTTGTTGATTATTATCTTCAGTTTATACTCTGTTAAGGATTTTACATCAGCACTACTCAGACATAACCACAATGCTTTGATAGTAAACCTTGAAGTCATCAAAGAGTGCTGCTTTTAAAATTCCTTATCCTGAGCAAATATGCAAACCCGGTGCTCTTCAAATCAGGAGGTGTCAGCTTGTGAATGTACAGACACTAGTTGGTCAAAACTGCTGCTGTTGACTCAGGGAGGGCAGAGGGGGCGGAGGTAGGGGACAGGCAGGAGCTCTTCAAACGTAGATCCCCCTGAGGCAGGCTTTTCATGCGGCCAGTAGGTCCCCCAGGAGTCAGAGAGCTGCAAGGGGAAACTGGCCAACTACAGAGCGATCACAGCAGAAACTTAAAGAGAAAGTCATTCTGAGCACTGCAGGGGAAGCTAATGAGGAGCTAAGGAGTGCTCTGATAAATGGTATTGGGAAGCGGCCAGTCTTTTGATGCTCTGTATGTAGTCAGTAGGGTCTCAGTAGGGTAAGTAAGGAAATAGCTGACATTTTATCGTTGGATGGTACAGCTCCCACTCAACCACAGCCTTACTATGGACATGTTGTACCTCAGTTTAAAGCTCCGAATCTGCAGAATTGAGGGAGTGACAACTGCATAAAGTCTGCAGCAGCCATTTAGATTGGCCCGTTAACGTCCAACCCTGAAAACTGATGTTCACAAACACACACTTCATATTGTGTTTAACAACCAGACAAGCCCAGAAACTCATGTCAGGGTAATGCAAACAGCATCAATACTACCAGCCTGTCTCTCTTGTTCACAGAGGATACAACTTTTTTTTTCTCCCAGAAATCATATAGCAGTATCTTTGCGGACATCATGATATTGATATATTCAGGCAACATTCCCCCAATGTTGAATAAAATCTATTAATCTGTGAACTGTGTAAAGCACAGAGGGTCTCTATGGGGATGGTCACATGACCTCGATAACATGAATGCTCACACATGACAAAACGCATGAAATTACCTGGTAAAACGCTTTTACTACATTCTTTTAGGATCAATTAAGTGCTTGTAAATACCTTTCCACTCTCCAATAAAACATACCAAAGATCTCCTTGACACACTTGACGAATCACTAATGGGAAGAATAAACTGAACTGCAGGAACTAAAAGCCTACAGACAAAGAAGAATATCCTTTAACCCTGACTATCTTTTTCAAACAACTTTAAAAGCCAGTTCAAGAGCTGTTTTGGAAAAATATAAGTAATTTAAGCTGTGTGAGTGCTTAATCTCAGTTGAATATGAAAAAAGGGTCTATAACAAAAAAGATGTCAGGCCTCTAACCCTTTCTTATATTGGTTCTAAATCTCCTGCATTGAACCCGACAAGAACCCTGTCAGTGTCAGTAATTTTAGGATCAGAATTTCTTACCTCAACTATAATGCTCTGAAGACAAGACCACCAGCACATAAACGTTGTAAAGTGAGGGGAAGAAGAGAGGGAGAAAAGAGGGAAGCTGCTTCTCATGCCATTATAGTCTATAGATTTTCTGTCACTCAGACACCTCAAATTAAATTTTGAAAGACGAACACAAATGCATGCGGTCATCCTTGTTGGTATCTTGTTACAGTCCACACATGGTCTTCACTCCAAGTTGAAGCTCGAGTTCGTGGGTGGTTATTGAAGAGTAGCATGGGTCTATATGGAATGTCTCTGCGTGAGGTCTGACAATAACACCTGGCCACACCTGATGCGCTCAAACTTTGCGGGTCACCTAAAAAGGACATTGACAAGTGCAGCTGCTCCACAGAACAGAGAAACATTTGTACCACTTGAGGAGTTAGGTTTAACTGTAGAAGTGGACACAGACATGCAGAATTCATGGACTCTAAACAACATTTTGACAAGGCAACAAATTTATTCTTCCTGGAAGCTTACTACATTTAGCCTTATTTGCATATTTGATATGTAAAAGTAAAATCATTCCCTTCAAGTCAGTAAAAAATGTGACTTGTCTAAGACTCTACAACTTCAAAGACAGGCTATGATGAAACGGCTCCTAAAACAAATTGCTGGAGGGGCTTGAATGCCTCTTTCCTGTGATCAGTGACAAGTCAATCGAAAGGCCAAACTTGATTGGATGCTAAGAGTGTTTGTAGAGAGTGTGTTGTTGTTTTTCAAAGGCTGAGCAGCGGAACCGCGTCAGAAAGTCCATCGCACAGATGCCTCATTAATGTGTGATCAAGCACAGACAGAGACAGCTCTGTGGAGCTGGGCCAACGAGCTCTCCTCCACAGAGGGCCCTTTCTGCACCTTACCTCCCCTCTCTAGCTCTTTATTGGACACTGACACCCCTATAATATAAAGCATGACTTCGGCAATTTCAGAAACTATATGACGATAATGGATTTGTGCAATTGTGTGGAAAATGTACAGATTTTTTTTAGAACTTGTAGCTTGAGCTGCAATTAGGAAGTTTAGCAGGTCGTGCTGAGACAGGCTCCAACTGGAGGTGTAGTGGGCCTGCTGAGAGAGGTAAACAAACCTCATCCCCAGGGCTCAGTCAAATCACAGGAAGGCCAACAATACACCACAGGTTCCACCACAGATGCCTGCTTGTGTGAGCTGCTAACAGGCTTTAGGAGTCATTTCCTATCTTCTACTCCAATTTCCTTAGCCATTTCACGCATAGCCTGTGACAGTAGAAGGTTCAGCTGGGTGCATAAGAAACCTTTTCTTCTGGCAAAGTGTTTGAGTTTGAGTCATTTTGGTTTAAGGGAAGGACAAGCTGATTAGGCACAGTGACATATTGAGATCAACACAGGCAATGTGTATTCTGCTGAAGCTCAAAAGGTTACTCTGGTGTCGGTCGGATTTCTCAGATCATTAATATGATTTTGTTTGTAATTCTAGCATTGCAAACACGTTTATAGCAACATTGGAGGGGGCAAAGACCCAATTGATAATACAACTAAACGTCATCTTGTTCATTTAAAACATAAATAACTGCTTAAACAATCAGCAAAATTATTTTTGTGATAAAGTCAAGTCACACTGACCTCAAAACATGTTCAATGTCATAAGCTGCTGTCGAGCCTCACCACGAATTTGGGTTAACCAATGTAACCATCCTTATGAACCTTGCAGTACACTGGGTGTATTCAGAGCCTTAAGTGTAAATTGAGATGTAAACAAACAGTTTACTAAAGCAGGCTTAGAGTAATGGCCTCATGATTGACCTCTACCACTTACAGACATCCACTCAGTTAAAGGGAGTGGTTAAATTGGTTCCTATGAGATTAACCTTTCACTAGGCCAACATGTTTTAATTCAATTAGGATTCATGCCGCTAGATAGTGAGTGGTCACGAAGTGGAATATACTGTTACAAAATACTTGTTGTTAAATAGTCAACCCCCAGAAAATAACCAGAGACATGGCACATTAAGAGGATCAGAGGGGATCAACTGGGAAAGTGAAAGAGTGAGTTTTTAACAATCAAACCTGATAAAGTATTATATGCTGCATTAACAGTGCACATGCAACATTATAAATCAAAAATGATCTCCAATCTTTTGCATCATTAAGATAGAAATACAGTGCCTTGCGAAAGTATTCGGCCCCCTTCAACCTTTCAACATTTCGCCACATTTCAGGCTTCAAACATAAAGGTATAAAAAAAATATTTTTTGTCATGAATCAACAACAAGTGGGACACAATCGTGAAGTGGAACGAAATTTATTGGATAATTTAAACTTTTTTAACAAATAAAAAACTGAAAAGTGGGGTGTGCAATATTATTCGGCCCCTTTACTTTCAGTGCAGCAAACTCACTCCAGAAGTTCAGTGAGGATCTTTGAATGATCCAATGTTGTCCTAAATGACTGATGATGATAAATAGAATGCACCTGTGTGTAATCAAGTCTCTGTATAAATGCACCTGCTCTTTGATAGTCTCAGGGTTCTGTTTAAAGCGCAGAGAGAACCATGAAGACAAAGAAACACACCAGGCAGGTCCGAGATACTGTTGTGGAGAAGTTTAAAGCCGGATTTGGATACAAAAAGATTTCCCAAGCTTTAAACATCTCAAGGAGCACTGTGCAAGCAATTATATTGAAATGGAAGGAGTTTCAGACCAGTGCAAATCTACCAAGACCCGGCCGTCCCTCCAAACTTTCATCTCAAACAAGGAAAAGACTGATCAGAGATGCAGCCAAGAGGCCCATGATCACTCTGGATGAACTGCAGATAACTACAGCTGAGGTGGGAGAGTCTGTCCATAGGACAACAATCAGTCGTGCACTGCACAAATCTGGCCTTTATGGAAGAGTGGCAAGAAGAAAGCCATTTCTCAAAGATATCCAAAAAGTCTTGTTTAAAGTTTGCCACAAGCCACCTGGGAGACACACCAAACATGTGGAAGAAGGTGCTCTGGTCAGATGAAACCAAAATCGAACCTTTTGGCCACAATGCAAAACGATATGTTTGGCGTAAAAGCAACACAACTCATCACCATGAACACACCATCCCCACCTCAGCTGTAGTTATCTGCAGTTCATCCAAAGTGATCATCTCTCTGGATGATTCATTCATTCTCATTCTCTCTGCGCTTTAAACAGAACCCTGAGACTATCAAAGAGCAGGTGCATTTATACGGAGACTTGATTACACACAGGTGCATTCTATTTATCATCATCAGTCATTTAGGACAACATTGGATCATTCAAAGATCCTCACTGAACTTCTGGAGTGAGTTTGCTGCACTGAAAGTAAAGGGGCCGAATAATATTGCACACCCCACTATTCAGTTTTTTATTTGTTAATTTTTTTTAAATTATCCAATAAATTTCGTTCCACTTCACAATTGTGTCCCACTTGTTGTTGACACTGTATATATGCATATTTGTTCACTAATATGCAGTTATGATTAAAGGGTAAGTTTACTGAACTTCATCCTCTTCTTCATCTTCTTCATCTTGTAAATATGGTCTTTGTCATGTTGATTTCATAATTCACTATATAGCCGTTTATTCTTGAGGGTTTACTATTGTTTTGGAAACCCTACTGGAAACAAATGCAATACATATGGGATCTATCTAGGGTCCTTCCAAGATAAAATAATAATTTGCTGACAATACATTTGCAATGTAAAAAGGTGAAAACAAAACCATTTCCACAGATTCTAGGAATGAGCCCTAAACAAACTTAACACAACACAAAGAAACACAGGATCATTTATTTCTACTTCTCCTCTTGAAATATTTCTGTTTATCAAATAAAACATATTTTAAATGCATTTTGACAAATCTAATTAACTGGTAGGTCCGGCCCTTGACAATACAGTATGACAATAAATAATTGCCCACCCCTGAGCTAGACCAAGGTTCTGTCATGGCTTGATTTGCTTTATTACTTTCATTTAATTTTATTTAGGATAATATGAGCATGTGCTTCATCCAACCCATTTTCAAACCATGTACTTGTTCATCTGTGGCTGTCACAGTATATTTATTTGCAAATGTGAAAATTCAATTTAGAAAGAGAGTGGGAGTTAAGCATGGGCTGGTTTAATTTTCTCTCTCTTCACAATTGTACATTGTACATATGCATTTTGACACACTGCCTAAGTCATTTCTGTGAAAGCCTAAATTACTGTTGACATTATACAATATAATAATAATCAGCACAGGCTAAAAAAGGTCATCAGCCTCTCTGTATGAGACTCTCTTGTTGTGAGGGACACAGGCTCCACACTGGTCGTCTTATCAGTACTGACACCAGTCCATGCACCAACCCCTCGTTTATCACATGAATCACATTTCCGGCATGCTATGTAAATGCTATAAAGAGATTAATCCAGCAGCTTCAATGATCAGGGAGAGCGGTGTGTATATTCTCATACCATCACAGCCACCACAGAAAAAAATATTGCTGGGACAAAAGCAAATATTCAGGGCCTAAATTTAGACTGACCTTGACAAAAAGCCTTCAGACTGAGTCACTCTGCCAGTAGAGGACACATGGAATAATATACATCAGCTGATCAGACGTTTTGATATGCAGTCAGGACCACGGACAGAGATCTGAGTGGACTTTTGACCTCAGGGGGCCCTGAGTTTGACACACAAGGAACTATGGGAAAACACTAGAAAGACTCAATAATGTGACTCAATACTCTGAATATTTTGTGTAATACTATACTGTTCTGTGGTGTGTTTATGATATGTTTGAATTTATAAAGATGGTGTGAACTTGAGAATTTCCTAAAATGGAAATTTGTTTCAAATAATGTTCATCCTCACACTGGTAAAAACATCAATACCAATATAAAGCAGACATGGAAATGGTCTAGAGCAGAACTAACTCATTAAGTCATCATATATACCAGAACAAGTAGAGCTGGACAAAACACATTATTGTATGTGTTGAAGAGTCTTCACTACCTCAAACTGAGCCACAGATCTTTTCTTTTACAGTCAGCACAATGTATTTGTTTCAACACTTTTCAGGAAGTGTCATAACATTGTTCCATCCATGACTCAGCAATTATCAGATCTGTTCACAGTGTTTTAAAACCATAGAAAAAGCTGTAAAAGTCAAGTACAAGTGAGAATAACAAGTCACAAGTAAAAGCCTTGTTGTCACATGTTTAGGCAGTAGTGCTAAATATACTGCCCTCCAACATGCCTACAATAATACAATGCATCACATGAGAAATGAAGGTAATTTTGAACTTTGAAGGAAAGTTTTGGTCGCTTTAAATCTAAATATAACTGGACCCACAGCTGATACCTAAACCCTGCCACTAATGCTGCGTTCAAGTTCATATTGCAGAGTTTGGACATAAAGTTCAGTGTTTTATTATATTGCTTATGTCATATTAAGAGCACAATAAACCAGGATAATACCACTTCTAAGCTTCAGCCACTTGATTCACAAAACAAAAGGACCTATTTTAATTATTACACTTCACAGTCACAACTTTACAATTGTTTCACGTTATATAGCAGCTACAGCTAGCTTGTCCACTCCATGTAAGTGCGGCTAGTCGGCAAACAACAAGCACAAACTATTAGCATTTTTGCGCAACAATTAAAATATAACGTTACCTTATTCAGATGGGGGTTTCGGGTGACATCGTAGCCTCTCTTTTTTGTGAACACGAAGGTTTTGCTGTGGTCCTGGCTCTTATGCATCTCTTTTTCCACCGACTCAGTTCTCGCCAATGCGCCGCTGTGAGCCATGTTGTTGTCTGTAAATACACTGGACACTGTTGATGCCTCTGTGGTTGTCAGCGCACCGGTGTCATGGGATATCTATAACTTAAGATAGCTCTGATGTGAACTTTATCAGCGCTGTCTCCGGGTTTTATTGTCATTACAAGAGGTTCAAGAGGAGAGACAGTCACCAGGCAACAGGTGCGAGGCGGAAGTAATGAATGAGTGAAGATAAGTATCCATAATCTGTTCTACACACAATCCTTTCACATTCACTCCCTCAAGAAACAATGTGGGGTTATTTTTTTTCTTTTTTTTTCTAAGGTGTAGAAGCGCTAATAACACAGATAATATGTTTTTACTTTTTTTTGTTTTTTTTTCTTTAAAACTGTTTTTTATTATTATGGTGGAGATGCAGTTTGATGGTAAAAGTGACCAAAACCAAGTGAGATGCCCCAAAGAGGTATATTTAAGTTCCTCACATGCTTATAATTGACTCATAAGGTGATCTACCAAAAGTTAAATGTTGTGCTGCCTAATCTTTATAGAATGCAATATTGTTAGAAAGAGCTCTATGCGTCAGTATTTGACACTTTGGGGGCAAGAGCTGATTCTCTTTTTCATTGTTGTGTCTGATGTGGCAGAGGCCAAACGTACATGTGTGTGCTAGTGATATGCCTGTTTTGAGAAGCAAGGAACTTTTCAGATGTGTTACTACAGTCATAAATGTGGCCTATATAGTCACTATGTATTCTTTATAAGCAACACACATCTTTACAGAACTGAAATTTCGGTTTACATAATCCTTCCTCTATTATCTGCAGGTTTTATAATACGCAGAGAAGAGTCTCATTTGATCGGTGCTTTAAGTGCACTGTTAGGAGTACAGACATGTGAGGGTCTGCAGCCTTCACCTCCACCTCCCTCCACTACACATGAGTTATGTAACATTACACTGTAGCAGAGAGCTATCCATAATAACTGTCTGACAGGGGGAATTAGGTCAACAGCAGTAATAAGTTACACAACTCAGTTACAGCCTCAAGAAAGTTACTTGGTATGGTAAATATTTCTTTCAAACATATATTTTTCATACAGCAAAACATATAACAAACCAGATACAGTTCGACAAACTTACATTACTGATATAATTGTGATTAATGATTTGATTAATAATACATTTTGCAAGTAGCTAAGTCTGAGTATCATGCTTGTCTATACTGTAAGTGTTACTCTACTAGGTTCCCTAAAAAAATAATCTAAATACAGTAACTATCTAACAACTTTTAACCAAGTGACACCTAACACTGGTCACCAGCAAGGCAAGTGTGTGAAACCTGCACTAAAATAAATATTTGAAATATGAAAACAAAATGAAAGAAAAGTACAGTTTTATAAATAGTACCTCTGTTGTAATTTCTTTTTTTTTTCTTAACTATGTGAGTGTGTACTTTTGGACAACAATAAGAAAAGTATTGTTAAACTTTTAGGACTCAATAAGAAACATAAACTGTAAACACAGCCAGTCCATCTGCAGATCACAAACATTTCCATGTGTGAGTGTGGAGCCAGAGGGTGCATGTGAAGCAGGGGCACGGTGCCAGTTCGCAGTGGCTGGGCAGTTCAAGGAGCATTTAGGAAGCACCATTAGTCCAGCCACCCACACATGTTTACAAGAGAGGCAGAGTAACAGCTGCTGTCGAGGTTTTGCCCTCTGCAATAATGTTTGTGTTGTCTACTCTGTATTGGGATGAACAGTGCTGCAGTCAGAATGGTGATACACTGTGTATAGTGCTCCCTGTAGATAATTATTCATTTGATTACTATAATAAATAATAATAATAATAATGATGTGGTTACAACTATCTATAGATGTATTCATTTTAAAGTCAATTTCCATTTTAATTCAATTCACTTTATTTACAAAACATCTGTGAACCAAATGAACCAATTTTCTAGTTTAAAGCTTTTGTGAGTATGCAATAAAGATATATTGATATAATGATAAAAGTACTAAAAAATAATACACTAACACTGCTTGTTCGTGATACAAAACCCCCCCAAAACAATTCGTTTGGACTAACACAACATTATTTTTTATCATTTTATATGATTAATTCTTTGGTCAACAACAAGACTTTTTTTTTTTTTTTAAACAAGCACAATTATATACTGTTTGACACTGCCAAACCCGATGAAGTATGTACACAACATATTACAACCACACTCTCTCTATATTCTCTGCTGATGAACCACATGCTTTGGGGTCAGCTATGTTTACTATGCCAAATGTCAAAGTCATTATCCTGTATTTATCTGATAACAGCATCTCAAGATGACCCAATGAGATGGAATTATGTTGAAATACATGATAGCATATCTCCTCATTCATTGCAAATACCAAACACAAAATACATTGTGGACACGCTTCATTGTGATTAACAGCTTTCTCCAACACCGCTCAGCTCTGCAGCCGCCCTCTCATGTCTGTGTCTCTTGTTTGTGCCTGCAGGGCTTTGGTCAGGAAGAGGATGAGGTGCAGACAACACATTTGCACAATAATCAAGTCGCCCACCAGCCTATGCTTTTCAACACACACTGACAGACACCTGGACACACTTCCTGCAGCGGAGCGGATGGTATAGTCTCTAAATGTAGTTGTTAAAAGTGATTACAGCTGAGGTTTATGGAGAAACTACACAGTCTGGATACAACAGGCACCTGCCATCACAAAAGCATATGCAGTGGACAGGCTACCATTATGTAGTTGAATGTATACTTGATATAATGCTGTGTTACTCTTTCGTGGTATGGATGCCGCTTGAGTACTTTAGATCCTGGGTCTCCAACCTATAGCCTGGGAGCTACCAGTAGCTCACAACCCTCTTAAAAATCTAGCCAATTTTATGAGTAAGTGGAAAAAAATGCCTACTTTTTGCACAAATAAAGGATGTTGGATTGTTTTATGGGTATAACACTAGACAACAACAAAAGACCCCAAAAAAACATTAAATTATACAAATTTGCCATTTTCAAAGTTTTAAAACAAGATTTGCCAACAACACATTTGCTTAATCTGTGCTCAAAATAAGACTAAAGCTTCATTGTTTTAATAAATGTTTTCAAATCTACTTAATCCATTCTTGTACACCATTACGTCGACTGTCTAAAGTAAGTAGCTTTCTGCCACTTTTGCCCTGAAAAATTAGCTCTCCCAGCAAAAGGTTTGGAGAGCCCTGCTTTAGATCATAATCATGCATTTGAGAAAATAATTTGTACACAAGTTACGACCAATCTATAGTTGAAATGTTCAGGTGAAGATGCAGAAGTCAGGTCCTGGAGTGGAGTTTTTCTGCTACAGCCTCCGGGAATTGCAACCTTTCAGCCCGTTTAATAATCACCGTCCCAGACTGATAAACCACCTCTGTGTTGTGTGCTTCCTCTACAAGTTCACAAACATTTTCGGTCCAATCCGCAGTGACAAACCATTCCACAAACCCCACTGGAGCTGGCAGCGCGCCGCTCCAAAGCAAATGAATGGCAGCCAAAAAAGTTTGAGCTAAACCACATTTCCTATGGTACATTTTATGGCGTCATATTTGCTGTTTGATGCTGAACAGAGCACAGAATTCAAATGGTGCTCATAGTTGGATAGAGTGTCATAGTAATTAGGGTTGTGATTTTTGATAAGGGGAGAACAACAACATGCAGGTCTCAGTGAAGGTTCAAGGCCCTAAATCAATCAGGAACATCTGATTGTGACATAATGTAGAAGAAAGGGACCTCAGACATTTTCCACATGGGTTGCGAATGCGTTCTCAATGTTTTTTTATTTTTTATTATCTGGGATACCAAACTTTTCTTTTTTCCTTAGATACTGTTTTTGGCCCAACCGAAAGAGTCTTATATCAGTATTAAAATAGCACACATTAATCAGACGATGACATGCTCTTTTTATCTCAATAGAAAACATTATCTTTTGCTTCAGAAACAACTCTTTGATGTTTTGGGCTGACCAAGAATAGATCCCTATTTTTGTCTGGGAAAGTGGATTCAAACATGTGACAGAGGCCAAAACATACAGCAAGTGAAAACTAGTGATAAAACCAACTTCATAATTTACAACTATCAAGTATTTACATTTATATTAGATAGTTTTAGATAATATAGATATTTTTGTGGTTTTAAAGTTACAGTAGGTACCACGGCCATAACACTTTATCACTTATTGTAACTTGGCTTGGTAATGCTGTCATATATAGTATATTCTTAAGTGTGAATATCTCAGTCCGGCAAAGCAACATAACATGTACGTACTGCGATGTGTTTCAGGGACGGAAATGGGTGGATGTTTTAAAACGGGGTTCCTCAAAAGTCCTCACCACTCGCAAAACGAGTACAGTGCCACTGGGTTTGTACGCTCTTCTCTCCAGTGACTCCATAGTTGACCTTCCCCCAGAACCCCTAAATCAATGGGCCCTTTCAGTGATCACTCATATAATAAGCCACTGTTTGAGCCTAGAAGTATTTGGGGAGGTGGAAAAACAGAGAGTTATAAGCTGCAGCTTTTCTGTCTTGCATTATTAAAGTAAGGTTGTGTTGACATGTGTGTACCGGGAGCAGGCTTGATCTTTATATGCCAGATAGGGTTTAGCCAGCTTTGAACATATCCTGGGGAAGGCAGCCATATAGTTTTTGTATTTATACACCATTTAGGGCTATAGAATGCAGGAAGAAGGGCATGGAACTTTAGAGTCGAATGGAAATGTCAAAGTGAATTTAAAGTGAGATCTAAACATTGACAACTTATCCAGCAGCATGGCATTAGACTGGTCCCTTCTGACGCTATAACTGTGAGCAGGGAAATACATGTACAATTATACAAATATGGTGTCCTACCAAAATGTAAAGATGTGTCTATAAAAAGTGGGTTCCCGTCACTCATTTCCATTTTCTTGTCCACGAAATTGTCCAAGAAATTGCGCTACCCTTTGAGTTGTTATCTTCAACATCAGACACGTATACACTGTCGCAAATGCTGCTATGATGTGCGCAAAACAATGACACTGAAATTGCCAAACTGAGGGACAAATAAAGTTATTCACTGCCAGTCGTTCACACAGGCACCAGAAACAAACTAGGCTGGATGGGTGAAGTGTCTTGCCCAAGGACACATTGACAACTTAGCAGAATACAGCCTCAGCTGACCCACTGTTGAACCTGGCATTTACGGTGATCTCACAGAACTCACCTGACGCCGGTGCGGTTTAGTTTAGTGCAATATGAGTCTATTGATCCTTTGGAGAGACAGACGTTTAATTTTTGATTAGATAGCAGGGAGAGACTGTGTAAGTAAGTAAGTCACCTTTATTTATATTGTGCAATTCACCTCACAAAGTGCTTTACAATTTGGGAGTAAAGATATTACTTTCCATTCTCTCCACACAAGTGATGACAGAAGCAAGACGCAGGCCACACTGCCGAATCAAAGCCCTTTACCACCACAATCTAGTGGCACTCTCATTACAGTACATTAATTCCTATTGTACATGTTTTTAATGTAGGAAAAGGAAACTTATGCAAACAAAGGGAGAACATGCAGATTCCACACAGAAAGGCCTGCAGGTGGAATCGAACCCAGGACCTTCTTGCTGTGAAGCACAATCGCTAACCACTGTGCCACTGTGTTTCCCTGGCCATGTCTCTCAGCTGGCCTGGTGAGCTGGAGGAAGTGTGTGTGGATAGGGAAGTGTCCCCCGCGGATGAAAAAAATGACAATATTGCAACGGACAAAATGTGTTGAAGTTCAAAAAAGACAAATTGCAATTGTAGTTAATCTAGTCCACTACATCCGACACTTTTGTCACTCTGCCTTTTTTTTTTTTCTTTTTCCTCATTGTGGCTGTGATTGGAGAATTGTGAAACACTGTCCAAATCCTTTATGTACACAATGGGCTGTATTTGTTTCAACATGTCTAAATAGTTCTTTCCTGGTGCAACTTAAAACCAGAGCATTTGGAAGTCACATTTACTGTGTACTAACCCAATCCTACATCTTCATAACACGGCCTCTCGTGACTACACACGCGGTAAGAGGAGATAGTTTGGAAAGTTTATTATGCATTCTTTTCTCTAGGCAGGATTTCATGGTAAGGGTAAATGTTTTGACACTGTTAAGATCTACAAAGTTGGAGGTCATGTGAAAGCAGGTTTATAGTTAATGCATGAATCCAAAATCACAAAAAGCGCAACGACCAATACAGAAACAATGAAAGTGGAAAAATACAATTGCGTGTGTTGAGGATGGAGAGGTGAGGGATCAAGCAAGGACAAAGCTATAGTTTTAGGCCACAGTTTTCAATTTCTGGCCCGCTGAACGAACCATTTACTGTAGGAAAGCACAAATTACAAGATTGTCAGTCAAAGTAAGAAACCTCATAATATGTCTAAACCTGATCGTGAACCGTGTAACAAGCAGCCATAACAAGCCGTCTCTGTCTCACCAAAGAAACATGGTTTAATTTGGGAGTCTACACTGCTGATTTTGGCTGTTGAAGGAGAGGATTAAGTGGAGCTGCAGCCAAACAATGGAACAAACTAGGCTGTGCAAGGATGGGTAATTGTTTATGCTCAAATGTAAAAGATTTAACAATACCAAACTAAATTCCTGGGTTAGTCTACAGGATATAGTAGAATTAAATCGTTGTATACATTTCTTTAGCCTGGTATCATTCAGCAACATGAAATTGACTATGTTTCAGATTTCCTTGTTCCTGTTTTGACGGCGCATGTTAAAACAGTGGCATGGCTTTGACCTGAGTCTAGCCCTGTGTCTGCAGCTGGACTGTGGAGGTCTGTTAACTTATACAGAGATTCAAAGGACTATGTGAAAGACCACTTTGCCTTTCATCCACCATCATACAGGCCACTTCTCTTGAGACTGGCATGCTTACCAACCATTAACCCAAATATTTACAATTAAATACATTTGAATGTAGACTTCAATCTTTGCAGGGCATTTAGCTATCCCATATCCTTTGAGTAGTATGTGCACGAAGCATAAAAATGTTGAGGGAACTAACAAATCAATGGTACTCTGTGTGAGCCAGCTTGTGAAGCTTTGAGTTATCAAAATAAAAGCTAGCTGGTTTATTGGTGTGGTATGCATAAGGATTTACTTTAGTGTGCACAGCTAAATTCAGCCAAAAGTGCAAAGAGGTCGGCAGGTTGAAAAAATACAATCTGGCTTTGGATGGTGGGCCTAAGTGAAGATTTTGCATTTAAACTATGTAATTAAAGGTTGCTCGAGTTATGTTAATGATTCAAGAAAGAAAACCTGGTGTGCGTTTGCATCTTTCAAAACACAGGTAATGGGCTTGACTTTTCACTTCGCTGCCTCCCGTTGGCAGCTGTGAAGATGGCCATTTTCACTTTCAAAACACAAGTAATGAAATTCCTCACACTGAGGTCCTACCAACAGGCGTGGGTCTTAACGCAGCAGAGTGCAAAGGGAGCACTTCCCGTGAGGGCGTGACCCCGGTACAAAAGGACCTCTATAGCGTCAGACCACAAACATCACTCAGTGCTTTCCTATTTGAGGGCCATGTAGGGCTAAAAGCTGCGTCCGCTCTTATCACTGTGGTCTCACTGCTCCCCTGTGACCCTTGACTTAGGACATAACTAGAAACAGTCTGGCCCTGTGTCGGTGATGGACATGTGAATGTTGTCAAAAGAATCTTCCTGTTTGCTTGTGAACTCTCTTAACCAAAAGATACCTCAACCATAGTTAGATATTTCACTTTAAGGGTAATATGGACCAATACATTCCCTCTGCCAGTGTATTCAACAGATCAGTGAGTGGATGCAATACAATGTCCTTCAACTTAACCCAGATAAAACTGAAGTTATTGTTTTTGGCCCACAAAAACAAAGAGAAAGAGTGAAAAGGTGCATCCAGTCTCTCTCCTTAAAATCAAAGAATTAAGTAAGAAATCTTAGGGTAATAATGGACTCTGACCTGAAATTTGATAGGCACATAAACAAGTCTCTCCATGGTCTTGCACCGGAGTACATTGGTGACATGTTGGTGCCGTATGAACCAACTCGGACTCTGAGGAGCACAGGGACTGGTCTCCTGCTGGTGCCCATGCAGAGTCAGGCCTAGGCATGGGGAGACAGCGTTTAATGTGTATGGCCAAAAAATCTGGAAAAGCCTTCCTAATGATGTACGGGAGACCTCATCCCTAGCATTGTTTGTCTAAGCTGAAAACCGTTCCTTTAGATGTGCACATACCTGAGTTTTATATACTGAGCCTTTATACAGTTTTAATGACATCCAGTTTGTAAATGTGTTTGATTTTATGTCTGTGTAATGAGCTTTGGGTTGCACTGCATGAATTGTGCTTTGTAAAAAAATACAAATAAACTTGATTGATTGATCGATTGATTGATTTTACCCTTCATTTAAAGCACGGCAGCTAAAACAGGGCAGAGTGAGAATAGATTGAGCAATCTGGTGGGTATGGTCAAATATGCACTGCTTCCAAATCCATACGAGACCTGTTTATCATCATGTGGACGCACTTCATGTCTTCATACTGACAGGTAACGTCCCTTTGTTCACTGGACTATATAACATGCAGTTAGAAACACAAATCAGGAAAATGTCTAATCATGAAACATGTTTCCTACTTGAACATGCACAATAGGAACGAATGTGCTGAATGAGTGGTTGACGGACCGTCCAGAGACTGTCCAGAGAATTCTCCTGGCATCTTCCCGGGACAGGGTCAATGTGAATAAAACCAGAACTTATTCCCTGCTTCTTTGTTCAATCAACTTCCAAAGTAACTTGCCAGGAATTTGCATTCCATTCCATAGTCATAGACATAAAAATTATACACAACTTTTAATGTCGATAGAAAACAGATAGAGAAATACCAGAATAGTTCCAAATGTGTGCAAAGGCTCTGGGCCATGGAATAAATGTTTATGTGAATGGGAGTCACAGTGGGTGTTCTGAGATTTTGTTTCCAGCACACGACCTTTTGGCTAAATAAATAGGTCTGTTGGGTAATATTGTTGTGTGTATTGCTTATTCCTCGTCAAGAATAAGCAAGCATATTATATATACAATATACACAATCTGGCGATCTATATATATATTAAAGAAAAAACGGAAATAAAATGAGGGTACAATGAATCAGGAAGTGAGCAAAAGAAAGGAAAAAGATAGTGGCGGAACTAATGCCTCAGAATCCCACTCAAATCCCACTAAAGTCCTTTTTTTCAGTCTGCAATATGGTCTCCCGCCCGGACCACTGACTTCACCCAATTCAGACTCCTCTTGCAGCTCTAGTCTGGCCCCACCCATCTGCGTACAGCTTTTGTCACATAAGGGGAAAAAAAGTTCTTTTCAGATTTTCCTCACTTGCCTCCTCCTTCCGTCCCTCCTCAGCATCAAGTGCAGGCTGCGTCTGCTGCAGCTGCGATGAGGAGCCTTCTCTCACCAGGACGTTCGGGATGCACTGCCTTTAAGCGCACTTTGCTTGGATTCTAATTGTGTTTTACCAAGGACAATACACTGCGGATTTGGCTTCCCCATCAATCGGATGTGAGCAGGTAGGGACCATCGTCCAGGACAACGTGCCTTATTTGGTCAAGACGGAGTTTGGCTCTCTTTGGGTTACTTATTATAAAGTTACTATAAACTCATAGGTAAACTAAATGTGTCATTCATTCTCGCCAAAACAGCGTTTGTCAATAACAACTTTTTTCCCATGGTGGAAAAGACTTTGCCCATTCATTTTGTCAAAAGCATTGAATATCGAATTTCAGAACTGTCAGGTGCAAACGATCAACACCTTCTCCGATTTATTCGACTCAACTCGCCCGGATGTAGGCTATTCTTGATTCACACATTTTGAAGGCCTATGCATTTGACATGTTTATCTTCATTATTATTTAATTGTGTTGACTTTGATAGTATTATTTATCCCGATTTCTAAATTCTGTTTAGATTTCCCTTTCTACTCTATAAGTGTATGCATGCAGATGAAGGTGTGTGCTTGAAGAATAGACCTGTGTTAAATGTGTATATGGGTCAAGTTGATAATTCTCCCTTTAGAAACATGTTCTTGAACTCCCTTTAGTGACCCTGCCCGTGCGCAAGACCAGACTGGAGTCTTATCTGTGTCGCCATCTATCGATGCCTTTATTCTCAGCAGTTGAACACTCAGTTTGGGCAGCACTTAAAGCTGGGATGACTCATTTTGTATATATACTTTTTTTTCTTCCAACAGAAAGAGTTGTGCAATACATCTTTTGTTTTTTGTTTTTTTTTTTTTTTTTTACATATTATAAAGCATTTCATCTTTTGCATATTTGCAAGAAAGAGCACTGTTTGATGCTTTGAGCTGAGAGCTGATTGGCTGAGTGAGGGTGGTGCTCTCTTTTTCACTTTTCTGTCTGGAAAAAGCGTGTGGCAAAGACCAAAAACACATGCATGTGAAAACTAGTGACAGGTCCAAACTGTTTTGAGCGCAAGGAACGAGTGACATAGATTTTGTTACATAGTAATTTTTTGTGGTTTTTAAGTTAGGTATGCCAGCTTTAACTGTCAGCTTTTTGCATTGGAAAAGATTTAAAACCTAAAATGATGAGGCCTATAGACTGTAGTTTCCACTGTGTGCTCCAGCCTCCATGATGGCTGGATGTTATGTCTGGGCCAAACATTTTTTGTCATTTATTTTGCTGAGTCTGGTTTACAACACTCTTTTATTAGTGTCTGTACTATTCTGGTCAACCACATTTTTCAATGATGTAAAGTTACCAAAACTCTTGGTGGGATAGAAAATAATAGTGCAAGCTTGATAAATGAGAAGATGTCTACTAACAGATCTTACATTTTCCATTTGACAACATCCCCTGGGAATATTCCAAGCACAGACACACATGATGTTGAAGTGCCTCTCCAAAACACTATCTTTATGCGGGTCCAGGACAATTGAGAGAATCTTTAGTTCAATGCTTTGTCACGTAGAATTTTAACTTAGTCATGCCCCAAGTGGTCACTGTTTTAACAACTTGTGTGATCTCATAACCACATAGCCACCGACCATGAAGTAACAGACTTCTAATGTCATGAAAAGCTTCTGAAATGTAATGTTCAGTATTGTTATAAAAAAATACTGCCAGCTTTGAGCTATAAACCATGGGCTCTTTTGCAGTCTGCTCACTGTCTACTGTAAGGTTTTGCCATCTGTAAACTTTAAGAGAGAGCAGAGAAGAGCAGGAGAAATCAGATATGGTCATTACACCAAGAGAAGGTTAACCATTGTGGCCAACCTCCAAGCCACTGTCTCAGCCCAACAGAGCCTCGCGCTGCCCAGAACTGCAGACACAATTGAAAGCTTTTCGACCGCATATGCAATAAAAGTGTTTCAGACAAATCTTCAATGCATAAAGTAAATTAAAACAGTGTGCCAGTCGTTATGCAGACAAGGCAAAGGCCGGCATAGAGTGCTCGGCCTTTCATGTCAGTCATCATGGGTGGAAACTCTAAGGGGTATATTTCTCAAGGGTTTGCGTGTGTGTAAAAGTGATTAGCAGTCCTTAACATTGTCACAAACGGATGTATCATGCACATGCTATAAAACTAAACCAAAAGGGCACTCACTATTTCACTTTGCACCTGCAGTTGAGCATCTGTAGATAAATATTCCTTTAAGTATATGTAGCAGTTAACGCTGCCCTCTTGTGGCTCACCCTTAATTATAAGTTTAGTTCAAAAGATGCATCACAAAGAAATATTATCTTGCATCAATGAAGGGGTTTGGTTTTTGGTTTTATTGCAGTGTAGGACAACCTGAGGAGTGGTGGGAGGGGCCATACAATGAAAGTTGAATGTATTTGGCTGGAGTGTCTTTGAAACCATAACATGTATGTACATAATTGACTAGTTCCTCAGTCTCAAAACAGTTTGTTCTATCACTATTTGTCACATGCATGTCATTTTTACACATCTTTAGCTGTCAGTATGTAAAAGATAGCATGTTTTCTAATGAGATAAAGACAGAAGGTTGTGGTCTGATTTGCTCACAAAATGTTACTTACACCAGACTTTCTGTTTGGACAAAAAACCTGTATTTATGTTATAAAAAAGGATTATGTACTCCAGCTTTAGTTGTTAAAGCAAGAAAGCAACATGGTGATAAAATAACCATATTTTTGGGGGATCTTTTCCAACCAGCCTCCTCGAGTAAAATGTATTCACATTATTCAGAACCAGCTTGGCACAAGTCATAGGAGACCACTACAAACTTATTTCATTGACATCTATAAAAATATTTAAAACCTAAAATGAAACTATTTGTCTTCTCTTTCCAGAGCTAGGCCCGAGTCGACCATGGGCCCCATACCGTTGTGCGTGTTGCCCCTTCTATCTCTGGCCGTGCTGTCTGCTGCAACTGCAGTACACGATGACTACACCTGGCCACAGTGGGACGTGCCTCGGGTGAGGAACAGACGTACCACCTTCCTCTCCAGCCCCCACTTCTCAGCAAAGCCTCAGCCAGAGCTCAGTGCCACATGTGGGATCGAGTGCCAGCGCCGCCTCCCTGTGCCTTCTCTGGATGACGTGGAGCAGTTTTTGTCCTACGAGACCGTCTACGAAAATGGCACACGCACCTATACTTCAGTGTCAGTACAGGGGCTCGATGAGGCCACCGCCTGGGCCAAAAATGCCACTTCCCACTCTCGTCACAAGAGAGAGGTTTACGGAACAGACTCCCGCTTCACTATTTCAGACAAGCAGTACTCTACTAAATACCCTTTCTCCACCTCTGTCAAAATCTCCACTGGATGCTCGGGGGTCCTAGTGTCGCCTAAACATGTACTAACCGCTGCCCACTGCATCCATGATGGGAAGGATTACCTGGGTGGGGTGCAGAAACTGCGAGTTGGCATCCTGAAAGAGAAGTCCAAACGTGGGAAAGGGGCAAAGGGCGGTCGAGGGAAGGGCAAAAAGAGGAAGGGAGAAAGGCCAGAGGAGGATCCCCAAGTGGATGGTACAGAGAAAACAGAACGGAAAGGGAAAGGCAAAGGCAGAAAGAGCCGGAGCAGGCGCAGCGTCGAACCAGGGAAACCATCTTTTAAGTGGACCAGGGTGAAGAAGACCCAAGTACCCAAAGGCTGGTTCAAAAGTGTTTCTAATGGACTGGCTGCGGATTATGACTACGCACTTCTGGAGCTGAAGAAGGCCTCCAAAATCAAACACATGGATCTTGGTGTGATCCCGTCGGTGAAGAAACTCCCTGCTGGAAGGATACATTTTTCGGGTTTTGACGACGACCGACCAGGCAACTTGGTTTATCGCTTCTGCTCAGTCTCCCAGGAGTCCAGCGACCTTCTGTACCAGTACTGCGACGCCAAGCCGGGCTCCAGCGGCTCTGGGGTCTACATCCGACTGAAGGAGCCTGGAAAGAAGAAGTGGACGAGGAAGATCATTGGGGTGTTCTCGGGGCATCAGTGGGTGGATGTCAATGGGAATGGAGCTCAGCAGGACTTCAACGTGGCAGTCAGGATTACCCCACTCAAGTACGCTCAGATCTGTGAGTGGGTGCACGGGGACTCGAGTAAGTGCAGCCGTGTGGCCTAACCAGACGGGACAAATGCCTTAGTCCACCCACCCACACCAGGGGCCCGTTGACTGCCTCGCCTAAATCAGTGGGTCCAACTCTACACACTCTCATATACACTTGTGTAGACAATTGTGACTGTGTACTTCTCTAATTTATTGTCCAAAAACAGAATATATAAGAAGCGTATTAATTTGATATGAATGCTTGCTCATGATTCTACAAAGTAACGTTCTAAAGAGATGTATCTGTTGTTATAGGTGGCTAATAATAATAGTTATCATGCTTGTTTGACGATCTGAAAATGAGCTGTGCAATTGGATTTTCAACCCTTGGCCTTTTCAATGGTTTTATTTCCTTAAAAAAAAGACTATTCTTGTGAAAAAGGGATGCATAATTATCCTTTTGCGAGATGCTTTGTTATCAACTTGTTCTTGCAACACAGTGGAATGAGGTTTCATTGTTGTGCACATATTTCTACAGGTGCTATTCCTAATGGTGCTAACTTATGAAACGATTAATATTTAAAATGTATGAGGTAGAGAGAAAAAAGGACATATGACGGCCTAATTTAGATGTGGCTTCATGAGATGTATGAAGATGGGACGAAACCATTCACCATTTTACTTGAGTTACTTGTTTAGATTTGTTTCTGGATTATTTTATACACTGTATGTAATCCAAAATGGTCTGTTGTTGTTTTATATTCCAAATATGAATTGAATGATGCTGATTGACATTAAAGTAAGATAATTACTGGTGTGGTGTTTTAGTACAACTCTCAGGATTAGATTTAGTGGATTTACAAACAATCATGTATGTCTTATGTTAATTACGCCTTGATCCTGACTCTGTGTGCTTGATTTTCCACAAGTTTTATAATCAGGGGAATCATTTTTTGCTGTTATTTATGGTAAGAATGTTGATGCTTAAGTTTAGCCACCACCCAGTGGCGAGCACTCTTATTCAGAAAGTGGGCCCGGATCGGAATAGGGCCTTTCAGACTGGAGTTTGCATGTTCTCTCTGTGTCTGCATTGGTTTCCTACTGGTGCTCCAGTTTCCCCTACCACTAAAAACATGTACAATACGTAAAGTCCTCCAGCTCTGGTTCTCACCAAGCAGAGTATCAACGTATGAAGATGGGTCCCCCAGGCCCTTAATGGCATTAGAAGGATTAGTCAAATGCAGAGAAAAAAATTATACAGGGACTTTTTCCATCTACCTTTCTGAAATACACATAACTTTAAGGAAAATGGTGTGTTGCTGTTCAATAATTTGAATACATTGGTTTTGAAAACCTCAGGTCACAGTGAAAGAATTAATGCATCAAACACAATTTCTAATTTGTCATTAAATTTATTGCATCTCAAAGGGCTTACATGCACTGGGATCGGGTCATTGTAATGAAAATAACTTTACAACTGAAGAAAAATACAATTTTAGTTTTTATGTAAAATGTGTATTATTTTCCTCAACTTTCTCCAAATAACATCAGATTCTCACAACCAACAGTTTTGGTAAAACAAAGATTGAATCAGTGAACACGAATATGGGTCACTAAGATTCAACAGGAACATTATTTAATACATAACACTGTATTATTGGTTGAGTGAGTTGTTCTGCTGTACACAATACACACATGTTCAGGCACCAATTCATTGCTTATATTTTGCATTATCAACAAAAAAAATCTATCAAATTTATCTGTATCTCATTAATCCAGACTAAAAGGCATTTCATGTTGGAGAAAAATATCTTTTTATAGTCCATTCGTGTTTGGCATAAAAAAGACACTTCTTAAACTCATTTGGAATTTGTCTTTCTATTCTATGGCGGTAACAAGCTGACACAAATAATGGTTGGTTTTTTGTGTTATACAAATGTCAATAGACATTCATCTGTTGGAGATTATTACAAAAATCAAACAAACTAGAAGCCAACTGAGAAGCATTGTACAAAACAGAACAGGACATAAAAGACCAATAAATAAATAAAATCAATGAGTACAAAAATAAGTCACAGGTCCACATAAATATAATACAACGAGAATTGCTGGTTGAGAATAATAAAGAAGCCCATAGATGTCATTTATTCACTATATCAATAATTTATCAGACAGGAAATAGATTACTCACACAACTTCTGACATTTTCTTCAGATTCACAATTATTTAATTCTCTTCAACAAACATACAGAGTAAAGACATAATAATCCTCGAACCAGGAAATCTATGTACATCAATGAGGACGTCTCTGTAAACATCACATGACCAAACTCTAACCACTCTCGTCCAATCAGAGTGGGGTGACAATGAAACGGGAGAATGGAACACCGAAGCACTTCAATCGTTCAACTCGACACTAGAAAGAACTCTAAACACATACACATTTGCCATCACTTTCTCACAACTTTTTCAACTTTTTTTCTCCAAAGATGGTGGATTTGACAAAAGATTAGTAACATCTACAGGAGCACACATGTGTTTTTTTTCCTTATATATTTTCATAGATATCTGCTATGGATCACTTTCACAGTTTGTGCTACAACATCACACAGGAGAAGGACGGTGGAGGTACCAAGGCGACGGAAGGACAGCGGCTGGAGTCCTGAGATGTTCAGACCCCAGGCGAACGGTGGAGAGAGGCAAGAGACATGTCAGCTAGAACCTGTACACAAAACTGATTACTCTCTGAGCAATATGACCTTCAGAAACCATGCGTTTAACAAAACAATATACTTTATACTGTTGGTACAAGTAAAGATTGACTTCACATTGTCAAGATTAGAAGGAAGATGTCATACCAGGAGGTTATAAGAAGTCCTTGAGATCAAGTTCTGCCAGCGGGTCCTTGGGTTTCTTGGGACTTTGATTTGCAAGTGCAGGGGAGATCTGGAGGAGGAGATTCAAGAAAGATTCAGCCTCAGCCAGAATCAAGCTAAATGGTCACTTGTTTTTAAGATCTTACTGGTGCTCCTGGTGCACCCACTCCAGTGAAGGGGGGTCTCATCATGGGCTGCGCCATCATAGGCTGTCCCATCATTGGCTGAGCCATCATGGGCTGCATAATTGGGGCTCCGGGTGCACCTGCAGGGGACTATAAAACAATAATACAACATGTAATTAAAATCTTGTTCATTCATATGTGATTGATTTGCAAAGTAAATCCAGCGCACCATTACAAACCCAGGCTGCATTGGAGGCACCATCCCTCCACTAGGGGGCACTGGACCAGGGGCTCCTGGAGCTGCTGTAGGGGCCTACATTGACAAGAGGAAAGTAACAGCTGGATGTATATCATAAAAAAAACCATGATAATAATAATAAACGTACTAATGGCGCTCCTGGTGCAGTCCAGATGGGAGGGGCCACTTGGGGAGTCCAGTTAGCACCTCCAGTTAGTTTTCTTTCCCCCATAGGATCCCTAAAAAAATAAGTTTTATACAATGAAATTGCAGCAAGGTTATCATAAGACATACTACTCAAACGGCTAGATATTTGAACATTCTCACTTTTTCTTTACTCCAAGATCTGTAAACGATGAACATAAAAATACAGGTATAAATCCTGTGCATTATATCTCACTGTAGCAAAACAAACTGACCCATGCTACTTTGACTCACCTCCCACCAGATTAGCCAGTGATGAGTCCAAGTCCTCTGAGATTGTTTTAGAGAGGGGAGGGGTGATGGTGTTGGAGGCAGAGACAGGCGTCCCTCCACTGCCCCCGGTGCTCTGCGGGGTCACTGCAGGCATCAGCAAGTCGCCTAATCCGTCAAACACTTGAAACGGAACAGAGACAAGAGAGCGGGATTATAATCCTCAAAATCTCTAATCTGTGATCTATCGTAAATGCAACAGCAGATTGGACAAGGAAGCACAATCCAGCTGTGACAGAAGAGTGCTTCATGCAAAGTGTAGAGAGAATGTCTAACACTAAAGGATAAAGGACAGTTAATAAAGGGCTGGGATATAATGACATTCATTTGCATAATGAAAGATTATTATGATACTCTGATTACATATCATAGTGTGCTTTCATGTGTAATTAATCTGTTTTTAATGTTTTGTGCTGTGATGCTTCTCAAATGAACTTAGCAAAAATTAGCAAATTGAAGATGACTAAAATATACACCCTCAATTTTACCCTCAGCCCTACATTAAATATGACTCAAAAATAGGCAATGGCATCAAGACCCAAGTGGCGAGACCCAAATACCAGGAGATATCATTGCTGTATGCCACATTAGGGTCTTGATTATACATGTGATATCACAAAACTTAACAACGTCACAGTTCGCTTCATGCAGGAGACAGAACATGCATAATTGGATCAGACTCCAGCATGGACGGGCAAGTGCCGCAACGCTCTAAGGGACTGAACTCACCAAGTACATATTAGAAGAAGCAAGCAATGACCCAGCAAGGATAGAGGGATAAAAGCATGTGTAGTAGAAGAAAGACAGTTAGAAACAGCTGGGTTTAAGTCAGAAAGGAGGCACAGTTAAAAGAAATAGAAAGATTAGAGGAGAAGCCTTAAGAGAGAAGAGTTAATCAGTCAGCAGATTGCAGAAGAGCTTTAAAGGAGACAGCGACGGCAGCCGAGTGAATCTTTCATGCGACAGAGAGCTCCCACAAACAGCTGTAACTGGCAGTAACATGACTCAAGAAGGTTTTTTCGAAAATATATACAAGCAGTGAACCTGTGCCAACATAAACACATCTGCTTAGTTTACTGAACACTGTGACAGTGTTGGGAGATCACGAAAACAAGTCTCACTCACTTGACGCATCAAAACCAGCAGATGGCGCTGTTGTGGTAGCTGCAGGCTCAGTGGCTGTGCCTGGGATGAGTGGCACAGCTGCAGGGACAGGAGGAGTGGGAGAGGGGAGAGAGTCAAGACCGTCAAAGCCAGACTCCAGGAGGTCGTTCTGAGCAGGGGTCAGAGCTGGAGCTGGGGCCAAGGGAGGGGCCGCTGTAGGGGCCAACGTGGGTGACATCAGACCTGAGGAAGTGCAAGGCACACAGGGTCAATGAGGTACATGGGGTGAAACTGAATCGTTAAAGTGTGTTTCTTTCTCAGTTGGAGGGCAGGTGCCAATACAATTCCATGAGACACAAACATTTTTGAAAGAAATGTGGAAAAAATAAAAATGTCCAAATCTTTTCCCAGATCATCATTTGCTAATGATTAATACCCAAACTCCCCATATTATTCTTATTTCTGAAAGTCCTCTCTACTGGTCAGCATCATGCCTATGATTTTTGAATGTTGTCACCACTTCAAGACACAGTGATGAGAAAATATAGGAACTTGTTGATACGTACTGATGAAGAAAATGTGGAACTTAGTGACAGTTTGTGCTTCATGTGGACTTTTGACACTTAAAAAAATATTTCCTCCACTAAAGTTATTTTATGTCACATGAACACAACATATAGGTTAATTATTGATTGTGAGGATTTAAAATACAATAAAATAAATTATATTTTCACCATACAAGTAACACAAATGAAAAACATCACATAGACCACACCACACACAAACACGTAAATACCTTAAACATAAAATCATATATTCTCTAAATGTAAAACCAGATTTAGAAAATAATTAAGCAATGGTACTTTAAATATCTCAATTGATAAAAGCAAAATGCATTGTGTAGGCAATGACATCATGCTTCGAAAAGCTGAGTCATGAAACCTGAACTGTCACGCCAACTCTGCGTCAATATTAATCAGACAAATGTGTCTCCCTTATTACTGACCTCAAACTTCCCCAATCAGCACAAAGTAATTGGCAAATGCTTTAGGTTCTGTCTGTATCACTTTAGATGGAAAGCAATTGGAATGGAGTTGTGTACCTCCTAATAGATCCTCTCCGGCTGCACCAGGAGCAGAAGGTTTGGCCTCCTCCGCCGGGCTGCCAAAGGTGTCTACGGTAAAGAGAGACGTTAAAAGTTACATCTGAACAGTAGTGTGGAGGAGGGAGACGAGATTATTGCCATACTACAAACTATCCCAGACACATTTGCTAATGAGCCAAGTATTTTATTCTTACCACAATAACATTCTTGAAGCAGATACAAATTAAAACATCCAGTAACTTTGCAGCTTTCCAAACTCAATTCTTCACTTTCTATTGCATTTGTCTTCATTATTCACAATGAGTTTAGAAGTGACGATTTGTTAGACCAAAAGGCAGTTGATTGGAAATGTTTGTTCAAGTACCACTTCAAAAAAAGTGTTTAACTTGTCACATCCACGGCAACTTTGCATGTGCCTTGTAATTCACCCAATGACCCTCTGTCTTGTCCATGAATACACTAATGCCGCTTTTCCACAGTATCAGTACGGTACAGTACGGTACGCTTCGGCCCGGTTATTTTGCATTTCCATTGGTATAGCCTCTGTGTCTCCTGCGTCTCTCCACGGGGATCATCGGCTTCTCGGAGTGCAGGAAAGCGGAGTCTCTTAGTCCTGGGTAAAAAGCAATGGGACATGTGGGACGCGCGGGGCGGTGAGCAGAGGAATCCAAAAGGGCCAAAAACAAGATTAATCCTGTGAAAAATCTGACAAGATTAGGCTTCCCGTGTGCACTAATGCACAATAAAACGCTTAAAGGAGCAATATGTAATATTTGCATGTCAAGTCATCATTAAATGACCCAAATATTTCAAAAGGCATTAATAAATCATGTTCTTTTCAAACACATCTTTAACTGATAACAGTAGTTCAGCCGAGATATTTGATTATCAAAATTAGTTTTACGACCCGTAAAAGTTGTTTTTGTTTTGATTTTGATGTCCTACCCTCCGCCGTTTCGCCAATCAGGAAGTGTCATGTAAGTCCGTGATCGGGTTGCCAGAACTCCGTGCGGCTCACTAATCTCAGTGGTAAAATAACATGTGGCGCAGAACTAAAAAAGGTCTTGTTATGACTCTCAAATCATTAATGACAAAACAAAGACTAAAACGAGGATTTATATCGGGACGCCTTTGAACAATTGAGACAGCTGATAAAAGTTTACGTGTGATGCAGAATTTGCTAGTTTGACTCCGTTCTTCACAGTGACTCTAACTGTGTGAATCGGTGGTCTAGTGGTCAAAACTGTGCGCTTACGATGCAGGAACCCGGGTTTGATTCCGGGCTATGTCTTTTTGTATTTATTGCATGTTATCACATTCTATGACAGATTGCTCTAAAAACGGTAAAAGACGAAGGTCAAGACGTTTTTTTTGCAGATTATGGCTTAATTGTAAAAATAATCATTTAAGACCACATGTACCCCAATTAAAATAATGTTAGTCTCTTTTTGATGTGGGACTTTTACATGTTTGTCTAAACAATAGGGAATAAATAAAATGTAAAGGTGATATCCTCTTGAGCAAACCCTGATGTTGATACGCTGAAGAAATACGTTCCAACATCCATTCTTCCCACTCCTATTTTGGACATCAATTGCTAATGTATTTTGCATAAACTATGTATAATTACATTGCTTTTATTTTGTTTTTGTTTTTTTATCTCAAATGTCCAAATAATAATAATAAAAAAACATGAATCAAAACATTCATTCAGCATTAGCACGGCTGTCATGGCAATGTGAATGGAGACGGACAAACAACTGATAAAATAATTCCCTGTGTTTGCTGCTGGATTTGGTGTGAATCTGGCAACCTGAGTCAGGGAGAGTGGGAGAGGACTACAAAATATTGACTGTGACTGCAGTACCACCTTTGGCCAGATTTCTACATATTGTTCCTTTAATAATGAATAATGACAAGGGAAAACATAGTTATTTTTCCTCTAAGTTTCAGAAGTAAATCTGGAAAAATAAATGACCGATGATGAAGCTGTCAATGCACCAACGATTCTTCACCAAAACACACTTAAGTAAGTAAGTAAAGTTTATTTGTATAGCGCATTTCACAGACCAGGGTCAAAAAGCGCTTTACATATTAAAACACATTAAATACACATACAAGTCAGAAACTAAGACACAGAAAAACACAGTTTACAACAGTTACACAGAGGCCTATGAAAAGTGAGGGGGGAAAGCCTGTCTAAACAAATGCGTCTTAAGTTGGGACTTAAAATCATCGACAGTCTCTAAGATGCGCAGAAGGAAGCTCATTCCAAAGGTGAGGGGCAACTGCCTGGAACGATCTGTCTCTTCTGGTTTTAAAGCGAGTGCGGGGGACCATCAACAGGTTCTGAGTGAAGGACCTCAGACTCCTGTTGGAGACATAAGAGTGGATCAGGCCCTGGATGTAATCAGGCGCCTGACCATGAAAAGCCCTGATTGTCAACACTAGAATTTTAAAAAGGATTCTGTGAGAGACAGGGAGCCAGTATAAGGACTTCAAGATAGGAGTAATGTGGGCTCTGGACTTAATTAGTCACTTTCTTTAATTGGAAAGTAAAAGTTGGTAATATGTTAGTCAATGGTGAACCCTGGAGTTTAAATAAAAATATACAGACATCAATATGTTTTATATGATTTTTATTTGTATTTTGCTGGTCATGCAGGTTTGTGCAACACGTCAGATTAACCATTCATCCCACAAACGGTGGTGGTGAGCTACTAGTCACAGCTGCCCTGAGGCAGACTGCTCCAAGTGAGGCGAAGTGTCTTACCTACTGTAGCACCTAGTTTGTGCATCCTTTTCTTGGAACCCAAGGAATTGGTCTCAAAATGTAAATTTGTTCTCTGCATTTGACCCATCCTGCTGCCACTAAGGCTTACGTCAGGAGCAGTGGTCGCCATAGCAACAGCACCCGGGAACCCATCTCCAGATGTTGATGCCCGGCTTGGTCAGGACCAGAGCTTTAGGATTTTTACCTATTGAGCATATTTTTAGTGGTAAGGGAAACCGGAGCACCCGGAGGAAACAGGCTCCACAATGTCCCACTTTCTCTCTGCCTATTTCTTCATGTGTTCAGATTTGAAAATGGATTATCAAGTCCATTAAAACAAGTCTTTTCCTTCAAACAACTATCTAGAGCAGTGGTGTCCAAAGCGGTCCAGAAAGGGCTGCTGTGGCTGCAGGTTTTCTATCAGACCCAGGAGGAGCAGAGCAGACTCCTCCCATTTCCTCAAATCTTCACTGAGCTTACTTGAGGAAATGGGCGGAGTCTGCTCTGCTCCTGCTGGGTCTGATAGAAAACCTGCAGCCACAGCGGCCCTTTCTGGACCGGACACCTCTGATCTAGAGATATGGAATCATAAATAAATGCATAAAGGTCTTTCACTACGTACTCCATAGATCCTTCCTAGATCCTAAAGAACCGAACATGTTTTTGAGACTGTCTTTGCTCAGGACTTTTCTGGACTATTTGAAAGTGACATCCTCTCTAGTGTTTACATTTTCCATACAGCCTAGATTATAGATTATAACAGTAAAAACACAGCAAGGTGCTTTTTAAAGCCGGCAAATGTCCACAACTGATTCTCAAATGTAGTGTGGATATTGTTGGGGTATTGGTGTCTTCTTTGGTTTACGTCTATATCCTGTTGTGTTGACTGTGACCTGTGGTGGCTGGTTTGGGCTAAACACAACATGTTGTTTTGTTCTTACCAGCGCTGCACTTGGAGGTTCTGTCTTTTTCTCTGGTGGAAACTCAGAGGTTGTGGCGGGGCAGCTCTGTACCGAGACCTCTGCTCTAGACTGTCATTGGAGCCGTTCAGAGAATTTAAAGTCAGGGCCATATTCTTAATCAAAAGAGATGTACCCTTCATTGTTGGGTGGACATCATCTGGGCGCATGAGACCGGGCTTTCCTAAGAAGGTGCTCCAGTTGTCAACAAAGACAACGCCACGTTGAGGGCACCAACTAGACAGCCAGCGATGGAAAGATAACATGCTGCTGTATGCTTCTTCACTGCCGGTGCTAGGAAGAGGTCCAGAAAAGATAACCGTGTCCGCCATTGTGCTCGCCAGATTACACACGGCGGCAACCTGCACCTTCAACATCTCTGCTGTTGTCTGTTTCCGCCTAACGTCATTGCCACCCGCGTGAACGACAACGAGACGAAAACGTTGCATGTTTTGGTTTAGGACCCTCAGATTTCCTTCAATGTCACCCATCCTGGCCCCAGGGTAGCACAGAACAGTGACTCCTGGGAGCTCGACATCTCTAACAATAGAGCTGCCAATTACCAGCACATCAGCGGTTCTCTCAGTCGCGTCCTCCTTCCTGCCCGAGGCGCAGCTCATGGGCAGAGTGGCCGGCGGTATCTTTTCCTGATGACTTTCCTGATGCTTTTTCATACACACTATCCTGGCATTCAAGTCTTTTATCGTCTTGTTGCCGTCTTCTTTTGCCTCCTGAACCCAGATATCGCTTTGCCTCTGCAACTGTCGATTCTCTGCTTTGAGTATTAAGTTCTCCTCCTTCATCTCGGCGATAATAGAGTTTTTCATGCAGAAATTCGCCCTATACTCCTCCAACTCTTTCTGGTTAATGTCCAGCTGCTCCTTCGTCTTCTTTTCAGTTTCTTTTAGATTGCTGACCATCTCGTCCTTCAGCTGTATCTGCTTCCTCAGCTCTAGAATGGTGTTTTTAAAGGTCTTCTTGGCATCCTCCACCTCATTTGTGTGTTTTTCCCGAGCCACAAGAGGTGTTTTCTCAGACGCAGCATATACGTTTTTCAGCTGCTGTTCCATGTCCAGTATTTTTGTGTTGAACCTTCTACAGAGAGCTGAAAGTTCCGCATTCCCCGCCTCCATCTCGGCAATTTCAGAGTTTTTTGTGAGGAATTTTGTCCTACATTCCTCTAACTCTTTCTGGGTGTTTGCCAGATTTTCCTCCAACCGCGTATTTACCATCTCTCTGTCCTGCATCTGGGTCTTGAGCTCGTCAATGAAACTGTTGCCTTCTTGTATACGAGAGTTCAGGAGGTCTATCGTTCCATTGTTCTCAGATTTGACCTGTGCAAGTTCATTCTGCAGGTCTCTAATCACTGCGTCTGTCTTTTTAGCAGACATCTTACTCGCAGTTTCCAAGGCCTCAATGTCCTCATGGGCCTTCTGTAGTTCCTCTTGAAGTGCAGTCTTCTCCTGGATGGAAGAATCCAGTCTGTCTTGGGTAGAAGTATTGCTCTTCTCTGACTGCATTAGGGCAGTCTCCAAGGCAGATCTCTCAGTCTGGAGCTGGTTCACTTGCTCCCACTGTTGGCAACTTTCATCCCGCAGGTCTCTAATCACTGCGTCTGTCTTTTTAGCAGACATCTTACTCGCAGTTTCCAAGGCCTCAATGTCCTCATGGGCCTTCTGTAGTTCCTCTTGGAGTACAGTCTTCTCCTGGATGGTAGACTCCAGTTTGTCTTGGGTAGAAGTAGAGTTCTTCTGTGACTGCATTAGGGCAGTCTCCAAGGCAGATGTCTCAGTCTGGAGCTGGCTCACTTGCTCCTGCTGTTGGCGACTTTCCTCCAGTTGAGTCTTCTCCAGCTCTCCCCTCTGCATTTTCTCCCTCTGCAGGTTCTCCAATAGACTCTTGTGTTTTTCCTCCAACTCCATCACGTAATCTTCAAGCTTTTCAATCAGCTTGTCCTTCTTTGATTTCTTTCTAAAACATGCCATTTTGCTCAGTTGTATTCAGCCTGGTTTAAACCGTGGGACTTGAACTTCTGACCGGACTCTATTATTGTTTGACTCTATTCACAGACAGACACACACAAGCACAGCAGACCATGATGACGTAATGATTCCAATGAGATCACTGTTGCCATGGTGATAGAATCAATTGGGGGTTCTGTTACCATGGCAATTATAATTGAAAATAAAGGAAATGGATTATGAAAATTATGGATTGAACATGGATTGAATATTTACAAAAAAGTAAGAAATAAAAAAAAGTAAAGAAGAAGTGACTGCTAACTCAAGGGCTTTGAATGTGATTTATTAAGAAACTAAACGCCAATCAAGTGAACACAGAACTGGGGTGTGCTCATACTATCATAGTCGCGTGAGGATTCTGTAGGCCATGTTTTTTTATTTACTGCAATGATTTTGCCCCCACCTTGCAATGTGTATCACGTCAAATATCAACCAGATCATTTCACAGGAAAACCCATTGAAAAGGAATCATTAACATTGTGCAAAAATCATTAAAAATCTGTAGCTGCCGATATGATATGTTTATATAATATCAAATAGGCATGTTTTGTGTATTCTGGATTTAATGAAGATATATTAGTATTAGCCTGTACAACAAATACATCCAAACGTACACATAGCCACTAAAAAACAGGCAGAACAGGTGTGCTCATACTGTAATACTCATACTGTTTTATTTTAATGCAATGATTTGCTGTAAGCCCCCCCACCTTGTAATGTGTATCCCTTCAAAATCAACAAGATCAGGTCACAGGAAAACAGATGTAATTGACCAGAAACCAGTCAAAAAATTCAGTTAGCATGAAGGCCGATCAGTCGATCTCAATTAATGACCATATTTCAATGAAAACCTATTGATTCTTAACCCTCAAGCGACCGAGTTATTTGGGCAACAAAGGGACTCCCTGGACCTGAGGACTAGGCCCCAATAGCCGTTGGTTGGTGCCCCTCGAGCGGTCTGTTGTTACTCTTTTTGGCAAGACGAATAAGATTGATTTGATTTGAATAAAACACCTAAGAGCCATTGGTTCATAGGATAAGGGCGTGACACTGTCCATACATGTCCTGGATCCCCCCCTTACCCCAGATCCTCCTGTAGTGGCACAGTAATAATCAAAAACCCAGGGGGGGAAAGATGTTTTTCTAAAGGTCTACACATGCTTGTTGTGTGTGTGCGTGCCATTGTGTGTTGTAGCACAAACCGAGTAGGTCAATGACTGGGGCTGGCTCTGCTTTGGGAGTAGTTGCCTTTGGGGGAGGGGCCTCAGCTGGGTCATCTGCAGCAGGTGCAGGAGCCGGGGTGGAAGAGGGTGCTGTTGCTGCGTATGTGTCTACAGACAGGAAAGGAGACAAACACACAAACATACTAATCAAAATAGTGATAAAATGAGTTTCAAAATAAAAGAAGATAGGCAAGGAGGCATGCAGAGATGATAAGGAAGCACTATTTCAACTGCATCATAATCATATCTTTGATGAATACATGGCTTGAAAATATCACTGGGGTTGAAGTTGACACTGCTGACTCCACTCTTCATAAAGTAGACAGAGAGGACAGTGATGCAGTAAAATAGCACAACTTACCAGTAACGATGTCTCCGGCTGGCACAGATTCGGGCAAAGGAGAGGGCCCGCGTGAAACAGCAGGAAGGTCTGAGTGACCAAGCCAAAAGCAGTTTGAGAGAAAAAGGAAAATGCCGCATAGCAAAGAAAAGTATTAGCTCAACAGAAATGGCAGAGAATGTAAGAAGCATAGCCACAATCACCATTAAAATCCAGACAAGTGAGTCACATGCAGAGAGCTCATACCACTATGGGGACAAACCAAGACGAGGGTTCAAAAACAGAAGACACGTGGAAAGAGTCAACTATGGAAACCAGAACAAGGTATAGAACGGTCCCAAACAGAAAAAATACATGGATTTGCAAACACTTGTACCTGCACCAAAAAGGTCTACACTAGGAGTGGTAGCAGCTTTGGATTCTGTGGTAGGGCTTTGTTCAGGCATTGAATCAAGCATATCTATGGACAAGGAGATGGACATTCAGAGTTCAGTGCAAAGAAGAGGTGAGTTGAGAAGAATGAGGGGAGAGCAGAGCTAATTAGTACTATCTCTCAGTGCAATGCAACAAGAGCAGTAAGTGCAAAAGTTAAAGAGGAACTTTGGCTGATTTTGAAAAAGTACAAATAATACATAAATGACTAAATGTAGTATTTCCCGTTGCTTTATTTATAATCAATTAAAGTGACTAAGTTTGTGATTCAAAACCAGCAGATTTCTCTTTAACTTAAAATGCAATAGTTGTAATCAGGCAAAACATGAGAAAAGTGTATCTCGTCTACAGGTGTCAAGCAGGAGAAGACAATGCAGTTATTTTCTCTAATTACTTTCGGTTTTTCAGTTGACCAGATACTAGACCACTAATCAAATATAAATCGTTTTCATATTTTCCCAACACAAACGTAATCAGGTGGTATTACTGTAATGTTCCAATATTGATTGAAGCAGTGATTAAAGTCTTGCCTCACTCAGACTCGAGTGGACTTTTATTATGCACACAATTATGTACTGTATGTAAGACTCATCAGTGGCTTTGTAATGCCATTACTAATTCACACATACTCTGTTCTGTGCATGGAAAATGACTAGTTTTGACGCTTGGGGCACAAAAAAATGGCTCTGACTATCCAAATAAACGTAAATCTGAAATGTTGACAGGTTGCTCAACATATAATCATCATAATTTAGAGTGCAGGAGAATGCAAAGGCAGAATGAGAGCAAAAGGACTTTACCACCAAATAGATCTACAGAGGGAGCGGCTGCTGACTCTGTGGTAGCATTGTCAGTTGCAGTGATAGTAGTGGATGGGACAGCGGGGGCGGCAAGGGGAGCCTCACTGGAGGGAGGAGGGGTGAGAGCTGCAGGGACAGAGGTGGTGCTCTCCGGTTCGGTTGGTCTCATGGCAAAAAGGTCCATCTCCAGCGCCACGTTGGCAGATCCCTCTGTTGTGGCGAAGGGGTCTTCAGCAGCAGAAGCGGAGAGGAGTTATGGAGGTATGAGAAGAAAGGGGAGGGGGTGGTGGATATGGACGTGGTGGTTAGGTGTTATCAAAACACGGTAAAAAGCAGAGTCTAACAGGGAATTTACACAGTAGGCGTAAACAGCGCGTACGCGTTTACTGCGCGCTCTCTGCGCGTACATTTTTCTACACAGGCCGTGCGCGCAGGTCCACGTCTTCTGATGCTCTCCCTGTGTAGTCTATGGAGCAGTGTAGAGGACAGTACGGGCCAGAGGACTGATGTAGAGCAACACAAATCACATGCATGTGTTTGTCCTCATGGTCTCTGTGCTGGTTTGGCCAGACGCGAGACTTTATGAAAGAAAAAAAACGATGTCCAGAATCACTGTAAAACCTGCTGCTCCTCCTGCTGATGTTTAGACACAAGTGCCATGTGTGTGTAGATGCGATCTAGAGCCAAGGGCCGCTAGAAAAATCATGTTTTACATGAGATTTCAATGGGAGACGCGTTGGTGCGCGCACAAAATTAGAAATCCATCCTAAATTAGAGCGCAGCTTCGCGTCATACAGTACGTCCGTCATACGCGCGTATAACGCTAGAAGTGTAAATATCATCTTAGGTTAACATGGAAAAAAGTTACGCGTGTCTGCTGCGCGTATAACGCTTACGCGCTGTAACGTGTGATGTGTAAATTAGCAGTAAGAGTAAATGAAGCATAACATTGAGGAGAATAACTGCAAATATGATGAATGCAAAATACTAAAATGGAATTACTCGTGCAACACATTGCTTGCTGAAATTTTATGTTTCTCTCTTTTTGTATTCTTACATAAACTTTTTCCAGATTACATTTGATTATTCTATATATTCAAAAGTAAAATTAGATACGTGTGGCCACAGATCCAAAACATGCTCAATTTCCAATTGATGACGATTGTAATACATTTACCTTTTATTGTCACTATCTCCATCTAATAGATTTTCCCTTTTATAAAAGTAAATCATTATAATTCCAATTTAACTTAGATCTATAGTAAGTGCATTCATACTGGCACTGTATCAATTACAATAGTCATTGTTGATGGTATTACATCAATAACAAAAGGAACTCATAGTGTTAGAAAATAGTATTGATGTGCACAGTCAGTCCAATGACAAACTATTGATATGGGTTGTGCACCGCAAATCAAATAAAGGAGATTTGCTTTTTACTGCAGTAGTGAGATGAGCAGATGGGAGAGCAGGTCTATGACTGGGGCTTTACAGCAGGATTGAGAGTGAACCAGTCAGCCTGTTGGGCATGTTAGTACTACTGTGCTCTTCAGAAAGCAGGAGCAGCTTGTACTGTATATAATAACATTGTACCACACAGAGAAACATCCACAAAACATCCACTTCCACAAAAGGCCACCAATCCACCCACCAGATCCAGCAAAGGCATCCGCAGCAGGGCCCGCGGCCACGGCAGCAGGACCGTCTCCTGGAGAAGGTGCAAAGGCATCTATTGCAGATGGAAAGAGCAACAACGGCAAACACAACACCCCGGAAGATGACAGACGCACAGATCAAACAAAGGATGAATGAACAGATGGAGCGGAGAGGAAACAAAAATGAAAGGTCAGCATCAGGAAAAGCAAGAATACAAGAAATATGCAGCTCATAAATCTAACGAATCAGACAGAATCATTTTCCAATAATAAGTAGATTTAGTTAAGCTGCATAGTGCTGCATTCAGTGAGGGCACTTGTCACAGGTTACTGGTACTCTGTGACAAAGAGGACATGTCAAGGCCAGAATTTAAGTCATTCTTTCTGTATTGACAAATTACATAATCTTGACATATCAGTTAGTGAGCCATGAAAGGAGAGACATCCCTTGATCTGGATGGAATATTGAGCAGAATAGTTTATTGCGGTGCACAGAAATATAATAAATGATGTTGAAGTTGTGCATCCTCCAATAAGCAAATTGTTAAGGAAGGTTGTTGTTAGGAATTGGGATGTGATACACTTTTGCTTAACACAAAAGAAGGTCTGACACTGTGAACATTTGAAAGGGTTAGTACAGTCTGACCAGCTAAAATGCTGAGAATTTGACCTTTATCAAAAAGATGGGATTTCGCTTTTGCAAAGGTGTGTTTTCTCAAAATCCAAATCTGAAACTGAATGACTGCGTTTACACAACACAAGTGAAAACCAAATCCTTCGCCTACTCCAATTAAATTACATTTAACATGAAACCCATGATCCTATTGAGACAACGCCAGCAAATGCATGGAAGAGCTCAAGGAAAAGACATGCTGATTAAAAATTTAGGCTCACGCATGGAGAAGTGACCAAAACTTGTAAGATTGGATTGAAAATCACAACAAATAGAGGGCATTTCTTAATAATACTCCGTAGTCATTTTTTTTGTAAACGCAGTCATTGAGAGTGTTTCACCCGAGTAGCAGGTGTCGCCGTCCTGTGTCGCCTGAGTGTCATACTGACCTCCGAAAAGGTCCATGTCTGTGGTGGCGGCAGAGACGGGCAGTGAGGTGGGCACCACAACAGCAGCAGGGGGCGCAATAGCGACCGGGGCAGGAGGGGGTGCTATAGCGACTGGGGCAGGGGTGGGTGCTATAGCGACCGGGGCAGGAAGGGGTGCTATAGCAACTGGGGCAGGGGTGGGTATTATGGCAACCGGGGCAGGGGCCGGAGCAGCAGCAGGCGCCACTTTGGCCTCAGACACCGGCTCTGCAACGGCTGCTCAATGAAAAGCAGTAAATCCAAGCAGCAGAAAAGAGAATGTGGAATGAGTGTCACTGCCAAATGTAGTGATTATAGTATAGTGAAATATTGTGGAGTTGGTATTTTCTTAAGAACTAAAAAACACCCACAAATACTGTAGGTAAGATATTTACTATTAATTAAAAATACTCACGATTTGCCAGGAGATCTGCATGGAAAGACACACAAAGAAAACAATTATCAATATTATCAAAATAATAGTACTAATAAAATCTATAATTTTTCATTAGCCTGATCAGCCAGGACCACACAATTTTGCTCTAATTTTCAAATAAGTGAGGGTCTGGATCTCTGCTTTGAGCTACTCATATCTGAGTTACTCATATCTGAGTTACTCATATCTGAGTTCCGCGTGTGGCCGCAATTGATTGGAGAGATAAAGGATAAACCAATCAGAATAAACAGGAAGTGGCTTCAGAACAGCATAAGCGTAAACAACAAAGAGATGTGCACACATGCGCACACACGCTTCTCACAGTAAATAGTGTTACATCACTCCTATAAACTGTATTTTACAACAATCAAAAACCTGACGTTATCTTGGATTTTTGCAAACAAGTCTATATCCAGTTCAGTTTACATAAAGGACAATCAGGTATGCTAGATATGATAGGGGGCAGCTCCAGGTTTAGTCTACACTGTTAGAAAATGCCACAGGGGTTAGTCAAAATTAGGAGGAAGGACAAAGAAGGCTATGTATTAAATCAAATACATAGCCAGTCTTGCATTCCCAGTTCATTTTTACTTAAGGTACTAGGAACAAATGTGGCGGCCCCAGACACCGCCCCCTGACACATCAAAGGTAGAAGGGTCTGGCTGGTCAGGCTTCCTAATAATCTCATTGATGGTGAATAATCTTGCCAACAAGCCATGAACGTACCTCCCCAGTTGGTTATTAGTGAGGCGGCTGTTGCTCCGCCTGTTGATGACGACGACGACATTGGGTCCAGGTCCAACAAAAAACCATCATCAAGTGCACTGAAGAAACAACGCAGGGAAACTCAATATTGTACTTGTTGACAGCTAGCATTGATGTCCAGTGTAATGTTTATACAGCTCAGCGACACTGATATGACATTGTTGATTGATTAATAAATTACTTGTTAGCTTTAATGACAGGGGCAGGGGCAGTAGGGGTGATGGCAGGAGGCCCAGGACGTGCAGGAGGCCCAGGGCGTGCGGGAGGCCCACCAGCCGCAACGTGAGGCGCGGGTCTGGCTGGTGCTGTGGCTGCAACTGGGGCACTGTTGTTAGCTGTTGCTTCCTGCTGGAGAAAACAGAGATCATTAACACAGCAGCCTGCGGGGATTTCATTTTGCAAGTTTAAAAAAAAAAATTAAATTATAAAATAGATAAATTATTAAAAAATGGGAGAAGCTCATAATGGCTTACCTTGGTGGGCGACCTGCAAAGCAATGATAAAACATGTTTAAGTGTACATGCTTAAAACTGAAGCTTTCAAAATACTTAAAGGCACAACTTTTCTTGTGTAGGGTCTATCTTGGATGTTCTTTTGCCCGGCTTATTCCACAGTGTGGCATTAAACTTTAACATCTACGTTGGATGTTAATATTCGATTTGGCGTTTAATTTAAGTAATGTACACGCAATATACCATACAGCGGTGCATTCCCAAGCAAACAAGTTATCAAATCACATGGACCCAAGTGGATTAGAAAAGTTGGACTGTGCACCTTTAAGTGAATGTAGTGAACAATTATTTGTTCCAAAGTGCACAGCAAAGTAACATCCTACAACCAACTCCACTTCCACATCTCTGCTACCACAATAACGGACACAAAATGAGATCAGATGCTGAGGATGTTGACTTTAAACATTAAGTAAGGGACAAGGATTCATGTGTTATGCATTTTTAACACACATAGTGATTTACCTTCACCATACGCGCTAAACCAGCATAACACATTGGATTTGGGTTTCCGTATGTGCTTATATCACAACGTCTGCACTATTCACTGATGAACGTGAAAAGCCGGCTCACTGTCCCTCCAGACCAGATGAGCTTTTTTTACCTGTTGGCATGGTAACAGCCACAGAGCAATGACATAGAATGTGAACACTGACTGTGGTGTAAGATCTGTTATTGTATGGCAGGGATACGATAGCAGATGTATTAAAAATGTATTATTTTAAAATTGTGTACAGATACAAAACTTCAGTGAATATGTTTAAAAAGCATTAGAATACGGAGTACGCAAAAAAAAATGAGGTGTGGCTTCAGACCTCTCTGGTACAATCCTAATATTCAAACTTTGAATGATAGCAATTTGATTTAGAATTACTATTACTTACTATTGGTCTACAATATATAATCACACAGCATTTTGTTTTCCTTTGGCCTTTTGATTTTCACACAGGCTCAAGGGCTGCAGCACAAATCATTTCCGCAGTGCACTTAAATGCACCATGACTCATGTGAAGTTCCGCCATTGCAAAATTAGAAAGCCTATATTTTTCCCACTATTACTTCTGCTCCTAAATGCAGATTGTCTCAATAGCTTTCAGTGTAAGTGGTTACGTGCTAGCGAAAATGGAATATAAATGGTTCAATTCAGTTACAAAGAAACTGGATTTTCACGTCGGTCAATAAAATAAGATTGTACTACTGTAGGTGAGTTATCCGGTTTTCTCTCATGCTTTGTAAATCTATTCACATTTTAGTTGTGAGTGTACAGAATGGTAGGTGAATCAATAGAAAAACACAAATACAATAATACTATGTTGAAATAATACTTACTTTTCCTCACTGGAGACAAGCAGACATAAAATACAATATATTTAGAATGTAATTGATTGAATTACCTTACTGTATTCAACCACTTACTATTACAACTGAAATTAGACTTCTTACACTAACATATAAATATGCTAGGGTCATTCTGATTTATTCTTTTCCCTCTGAAGAAAAAAAACCGACTGCAGCATTTGATTTGAAGTGATGGTCTCTTATTACTTACGGCTTCTTCCCCTCCAGTGTGTTGAGGTGTGTCTCGAGGGACTCCAGAAGACTCTCTGGGGCCTGGACAATGACAGAGACATGTTACAGAGGAGCCGCATTATTACTAACACAGGCGGTTGTGGTCAATGAGGCCATTACCCCAACCGCCAAAGCATTGAATCTGAGACCACAGAGACATTGGGAAGAGCCTGCTTTGACAACACCACAACTGATCACCTGCTGCCTATGTATGGCAGTCCATCACCTCTACTTATGCATATGATTTTACACTTACAACCCTCTTGAAATAAGAATTAGTAAACTCATAGGGACACATTTAAATGCGAATAGGGATAAATACAGTATGGATGGTCACAATGTTATTCAATTTGAGAACAAGAGAAACACAAAAGAGAAGTAAGTTAAATGTATCCTAACATGCATCATGCCAAAATAAAAAAGTGCTACGATTACTTCCCATGCTGGAACTATGGGGAGAGTCAAATTCTTTGATACTCAAAGAGAAATGTCTCTACACGTTTCATCCCATTTACTCTTTCTCCTTAAGAAAAAAACTAATGAAGTAGAGATGTAGGGGCTGCACTTTATCTACAGTGTATTTTAAATAGCCCTTTTTCCTTAGGTTCATTGGCTCTTTAAAGTATCTATCTACAAATGGTGAATGTCACAGTATAAAGAGTTTAGCACTGCAAAGATTTCATATACAGTAATAGTCCTCTTTGTTACTTTCATGGTAACATTACAAACATGTTTACCTTAGAATTATATCAAAAGTATTTAAAAGGACACATAAATCTTGTTACACCATTGTTCCTCATCAGTCATAAACCTAGATCCATCCACGCCAATATCATGGTACAAACATGTAAGTCTGCCTCTTCTGTCTAAAGCCTAGCGTACATCGACAGAGAAACTGGGGACAACTAGTTGCAAGGCGGCTTTTGGCAACTGAGAGGAGATGGTGGGAGATGATCAGTTGCCGAAATCGGTCGATGTGCGCGCTCTTACAACTGGAGATGAACAGTCGGTCTCCAGTTTCAGTCAGTTGCCCGTGTTCTACTTTTCGGCAACTAGTTGTCCTCAGTTTCGGAGATATGACCCGATGTGCGCGCTCCATGCGCCGCTCCGACAACCTGTGTGTATTGCGTGTGTTGCGAGCCCGCAACAGTTTATGTCAGAAAACACACTGTAGTTGAGGCCAGTTGCTGTCGATGTACGCGCTGTTATTCCCGAGACTGGTCTGCGACTGGGAGTTGCCCGTTTTCGTCAGATTGTCGATGTGTGCGGGGCAGCAACTCATATGCGACGGATATAATCAGTTGCCAGTCCGATGTACGCTAGGCTTAAAAGCTTCAGTCTCAGTCCTGTAACAGTATGATGTACAGTGCCTTGCGAAAGTATTCGTCCCCCTTGAACCTTTCAACATTTTGCCACATTTCAGGCTTCAAACATAAAGATATCAAATTTTAATTTTTTGTCATGAATCAACAACAAGTGGGACACAATCGTGAAGTGGAACGAAATTTATTGGATAATATAAACTTTTTTAACAAATAAAAAACTTAAAAGTGGGGCGTGCAATATTATTCGGCCCCTTTACTTTCAGTGCAGCAAACTCACTCCAGAAGTTCAGTGAGGCTCTTTGAATGATCCAATGTTGTCCTAAATGACTGATGATGATAAATAGAATGCATCTGTGTGTAATCAAGTCTCCGTATAAATGCACCTGCTCTTTGATAGTCTCAGGGTACTGTTTAAAGCGCAGAGAGAACCATGAAGACAAAGAAACACACCAGGCAGGTCCGAGATACTGTTGTGGAGAAGTTTAAAGCCGGATTTGGATACCAAAAGATTTCCCAAGCTTTAAACATCTCAAGGAGCACTGTGCAAGCAATTATATTGAAATGGAAGGAGTATCAGACCACTGCAAATCTACCAAGACCCAGCCGTCCCTCCAAACTTTCATCTCAAACAAGGAGAAGACTGATCAGAGATGCAGCCAAGAGGCCCATGATCACTCTGGATGAACTGCAGATAACTACAGCTGAGGTGGGGATGGTGTGTTCAGGGTGATGAGCTGTGTTGCTTTTACGCCAAACATATCGTTTTGCATTGTGGCCAAAAAGTTTGATTTTGGTTTCATCTGACCAGAGCACCTTCTTCCACGTGTTTGGTGTGTCTCCCAGGTGGCTTGTGGCAAACTTTAAAGCCTAGCGTACATCAGACTGGCAACTGATTATATCAGTCGCATATGAGTTGCTGCCCCGCACACATCGACAATCTGACGAAAACGGGCAACTCCCAGTCGCAGACCAGTCTCGGGAATAACAGCGCGTACATCGACAGCAACTGGCCTCAACTACAGTGTGTTTTCTGACATAAACTGTAGAGGGCGCGCAATACACGCAATACACACAGGTTGTCGGAGCGGCGCATGGAGCGCGCACATCGGGTCATATCTCCGAAACTGAGGACAACTAGTTGCCGAAAAGTAGAACACGGGCAACTGACTGAAACTGGAGACCGACTGTTCATCTCCAGTTGTAAGAGCGCGCACATCGACCGATTTCGGCAACTGATCATCTCCCACCATCTCCTCTCAGTTGCCAAAAGCCGCCTTGCAACTAGTTGTCCCCAGTTTCTCTGTCGATGTACGCTAGGCTTAAAAGATACTTGGTAACGCTTTATATTAAGGTGTGCTTGTTAAGTATTAATAAGGTATTAATAGACATTAGCATCATGCTTATAAATGGCTTATATGTACTTATAAACATATTAATAAGCTGCTCATTTCACAATTCTCTAAATGATGTTGTTCTAGTTATATGCTTTTAAGCATTTAATAAGTAATTAGTAAGATACATTTATATATTTATAAATATATGAATAAGCTGCCTATTAAAATATTATCAATACCATGTTAATAGGCCACTAACAATATGCCTATAAAGATATTAATAAGCTGCTTATTAATAGGTAATAGTGGTAATAGGCCACTAAAAATATGCGTTAATAAACTGCTTATTATACTATTTTGCAGTACCCTAATCTAAAGCGAGGAGCATTTTTGTTAATGCAGAATAAAACAACAATGATCTAAGATGTTTTTATTTATTCAAACAGCAACAATTACAGTCTAAATGAAAAAAATCAACTTTATGAAAGCTGTGGGTTCTCTATCAGGTTCTCTGTCAGCTGAGGTCGAGCTGTTTTAATTTACATTGAGTTCTATGGGACTTTTTCTGGGTAGCCCTCGTGAATTTAGTCTGCAGTACCACAGCGCCCCCTGTGCCCATGGGTGGGACAGCTATAAGCTAGGAAAACACTATCCAGTTATTATTATAGTTCCATGGTTGAGCCACAGGTGCGTTGTATACATGGATCTATTATAATAACTGGATAGGGTATTACTAGCTTGTAGCTCGGGGGATTCTCGTGGTACTGCAGACTAAATTCACGTGGGCTATCCAGAAATTGTCCCCATAGAACTCAATGTAAACTAAAACAGCTCAACCTCAGCTGACAGAGAACCTACAGCTTTCATAAAGGTCGGATTTTGTTGGGATTTTAGTGTCCCTTGTCATCCTGAACTTTTTTTCTTCTTAAATCCTTCAGTTTTCTTTAAATCCACATTTTACTGCCACAAACTCTACTCGTCTGGCTCTTTCTCCCGCTCTAACTCCCACTCTGATCAGCAGCTCTAATTGGTCAGAGCGCGGCCCCTATGTGCACGTGCATGACAGCCACGCACGCGTAATTGGCGCAAAGCATCATGGGAGCTCGTCCACTGCGCAGAACCGGGAGGACCAGACGATGCCCAAAAATAAGCGAGTTCCGCTAATCTCTCAGGCTCGTGAAGTCAGTTGATTCACTGTTTTGCAAAAGCCAAATTCATTAACAGAGCAGGTCGGAGCATGAGTGGGTTCATCATGGCTCCTTGAAGTTACTAACAAACTTTTGGCACAAACTTCATTTTGATTTTTTTTTTCATTTAGACTGTAATTGTTGCTGTTTGAATAAATAAAAACATCTTAGATCAATGTTGTGTTTTTTTCTGCATTAACAAAAATGCTCCTCGCTTTAGATTAGGGTACTGCAAAATAGTGTAATAAGCAGTTTATTAACGCATATTTTAGTGGCCTATTACCACTATTACCTATTAATAAGCAGCTTATTAATCTTTATAGGCATATTGTTAGTGGCCTATTAACATGGTATCGATAATAGTTTAATAAGCAGCTTATTCATATATTTATAAACATATTCCTCCTTTAATAAGTATCTTACTAATTACTTATTAAATGCTTAAAAGCATATAACTAGAACAACATCATTTAGAGAATAGTGAAATGAGCAGCTTATTAATATGTTTATAAGTACATATAAGCAATTTATAAGCATGATGCTAATGTCTATTAATACCTTATTAATACTTAACAAGCACACCTTAATATAAAGCGTTACCAGATACTTTTTATGGATATCTTTGAGAAATGCCACTCTTCCATAAAGGCCAGATTTGTGCAGTGCACGACTGATTGTTGTCCTATGGACAGACTCTCCCACCTCAGCTGTAGTTATCTGCAGTTCATCCAGAGTGATCATGGGCCTCTTGGCTGCATCTCTGATCAGTCTTCTCCTTGTTTGAGATGAAAGTTTGGAGGGACGGCCGGGTCTTGGTAGATTTGCAGTGGTCTGATACTCCTTCCATTTCAATATAATTGCTTGCACAGTGCTCCTTGAGATGTTTAAAGCTTGGGAAATCTTTTGGTATCCAAATCCGGCTTTAAACTTCTCCACAACAGTATCTCGGACCTGCCTGGTGTGTTCCTTTGTCTTCATGGTTCTCTCTGCGCTTTAAACAGAACCCTGAGACTATCAAAGAGCAGGTGCATTTATACGGAGACTTGATTACACACAGGTGCATTCTATTTATCATCATCAGTCATTTAGGACAACATTGGATCATTCAAAGATCCTCACTGAACTTCTGGACTGAGTTTGCTGCACTGAAAGTAAAGGGGCCGAATAATATTGCACGCCCCACTTTTCAGTTTTTTTATTTGTTAAAAAAGTTTAAATTATCCAATAAATTTCGTTCCACTTCACGATTGTGTCCCACTTGTTGTTGATTCATGAAAAAAAATTAAAATTTGATATCTTTATGTTTGAAGCCTGAAATGTGGCAAAATTTTGAAAGGTTCAAGGGGGCCGAATACTTTTGCAAGGCACTGTATCTGTACCTCTATGACATCACGATCAGGGCAGTTTTCTGCTATTTAGAACAAAACAATTTACCCTAAATGAGTTTTGGCATTATCTTAGGTGAAATTACGTTCTTTGAAATCTCTCTGTTTGTTTATTTATTTATTTCAGGCAACGCAAAGTCAGCTACTTCCTCCTTTGGTAACAGGAGTTACAGGTAGATATCACGTAAAACCCTTCACATTCTAAAATATGAAGTTACTAAGTAAACATTCTCATTATCGTTTTTAAGGGACTAATATCTATTCTTCAATGTCTGCTTTTTATATATGATATTTGCTCTTCTTAACCCTGATCTTAGATTCCTTTTGTAAATGTCACCACATCTGTAGAAAATGCACAATATTATAACTAAATGTTGGTCCTTGGTGAGCATGCATTTTGTACCTGCACTCCTTTTAAACATAACCACTTAAGTGCAACCATGGGTCAACGTGCTTGTCAGGCAGCCAGTGCAACTCTTATTATTGTAATCCTGCAAAAAGCAAGAGCAGCAACTTTCCACTCAGTTGAGCACAAAGCAAAATGCACTAAATGTAAAAACATGGCTGAAAACTCTGCAGCAAAGACGCAATCTGCATCTTAATAATGCACAACTTTGAATTTAACCTCAGCTCTGAAGCAGACACTGATCAGCAGCCTGGCTCAGCATGTCACAGCTCTGTCTATCGGCTCTTCCAGTCGCTCCAGTGCACTCCAGTCTGTCTACAGGAGCTCATAGTGCAGCCTACTTCAAACCAGTGCACTCAAACTCAGACTAAATGTTGGCCTTCCCTGCTCCATAAAGCTAGCACTACTCACTCTCTCAGCCTGAATGATCAATCTGCATCTCTGGAAACGAAAACACACACATACAGGCGTGGGATTGGAACAAGAGGGACATTCACCACAATGAGAGGTTGTTTGGGAATGCGCAAGAAGACGAGATACATCTAATAGTAATAGAAACACATACTGTATAAGGGTTCTCAAACTGTGCGGCAGGTACACAAAAAATCATTAATAAATTGGGTACTGATTTAAAGCTGGGGTACCTAACTTGTTTTCCTTATACAAAATTCATTGTCCGAAGAGAAAGAGTCTCTTAAAAGATATTCTGCAAACAATCAGACTGCTGTCTTCATCAATTGCATCCTTCTAAGCCCTCTGAGACTCAATGTGACTCTTTTGGGCCGAGTGAGGGTGGTCCTCTCTTGTACGCTAAGAATGCTGATTTAAATGTATTCAATTCAACTTTATTAAAGATTGTGATGGAGGTCAATAATACATACACACATGTGAAAACTAGTGAAATAACTAAACTTCATACAGATTTTTATCATATATTTTCATTTTAAGTGATGTGAAAGGTAAGTACCTCAGCTTTAAATATGAATGACATTTTACTCAAATAGTCAGACTTATTTACTGTTCAATCAAGCGGGAAAATATCACATACATTTCTCCATTTTAGCTGCTTCTAATCTCACAGGAGTTTATTTCTGTCCTTGCATGTACTAGGTGAGAACCAGCACACTGGGAGATGTATCTCTCATATACATGCCGCAGAGTTACAAAATATAAAAAATACACAATAACGTAACACATGCTTTGTTAGTATAACTTTAAATTTGAAAACGATGCCAAGAATGAGAAAGTATTCGGTTTTACCTGAGTTAGTTCGGGTATGTCGTTTTTGTCTATTCCAACTTGCTACAATACAAAGAGAAACATAAATCCACAGTTTTTTGACGATAAATGACAATCTGCCTTTGATTTTACCTCTGCGATTTTGAAGAACTCAGATACTCGAGTCATACGTGTTAAAAATCTCTTATAGATTTCCAAACCATCTTTACACTGGCTTCTCTTCATCTGGAAAAACTTTTCTGGAGAAGGATCTCAGTATTAGGTTTTTTCTCATAGTGCTTGCTAAAATCATAACGTGGAATAATGTACCTAGTAAATTTATTACACCATCATTGTAACAAGCATACAACTTTATCAGATCTTTAAATAGGAGTAGAAAGCAGGCATTTAGCACAGCGTGGTTTAGATCCTTCGACTGAACCTGGGAACAGAAAATAAACACAGAAAACAAAACATTACTTCCCAGTTGAAATGCAAAGAGCCTCACACCTCCAACCCAATGTCAATTCCTAGCAATATTTCTAAACTCAAATGCATTTTCCACTTACCTCAAAGTCCAGAAGAGCATCAATTTGTCCTTGCAAAATATTCATTCCCCGTAGTAACTTATCTACTGGCATGGTCCTCATCACTCCCTCAGCACTAAAAGCAAAGTGAGAAAAATGTAAGGCTAATCTGATAAATTAAGTAACACCACTAAAGCGCTCAACGACCAAGTGATTGTAATGGATATGGATTCTTTTTGATTTAAACTTCACAAGTTTCAAGATGCATTTGCAGCAGCGGCAGCAGTAGCTCAGCCCAGTCCTGAAGATGAGTAATCGCCACTTTGTATTCACCACAGCACTCAAACACTTAGTACAGACAGGGAAGCTCTGCACTTGTCCCAATGGCACAGTTTTAATGGGCTCTACAGCTACACAATGTACTGAGATCATGGTAGGCCCAGTATTTTCAAATGTTTATTTAGCTCATCCACAATTGATTCGTGACAGTGACTCATGTGGTGCAGCTCTAGTGCAGTGACCACGGTTTTTTCCCGGATAATTAAGAGTAACGACAGGAGCTCACGCTGCAAACCGTTCAGTCCATTTCTGCTACTGTGGATATCACTGACCACATGTAGCTGTTGCCCTCTGTTGTGCCCTCAAACTTTTAACAGATTAGAATGAACTTTTTCGAAAAAATTGTACTGACTGTTGAGCTCCATTCTCCAAGATAAGATAAGATGAACTTTTATTGATCTCACAGTGGAGAAATTTACATGTCACATTTGGCATAGATAGAATCACTCAGATAGTGCAAAGACAGAATGATTTTGAGACGTTAAGGTTAAACATATACACAGAGAATGTGGCCTTTTTCTTTGTAAAAACAAGTAGTTAATTGCAAATTATGAGCAGTGTTGGTGAGGCGTATGGTCTGCAGTTATAAAAAATGTATGGATGTGTCTGTGTGTTTATGGAAGTTATAATAAGCAAAACTAACTTATAATTAATTTTAAAGAAGTATTACAATCATACCCTTTCTTGACTCTGCCAAAGTCAAAAGACATTTGTCGGTACGCAAAGGCTTTCTCATTCAGGTAGCGACTGTAGCGTCTGATAAATGTGGACATGTCATAGCCTGGAGAAGAGAGAACACAAAGTAAGGCATTTTTATTGTTCCATCTATTATAGAGTATGCAGGGTACAGCTGTTTGATGAATTATATAATACACACTTAAACTTGACCAATTCTGGGCAAACAATGCTTTATTTCTGGAAGTAAAAGCACTAAACAAATGCTGACTTAAGTTAGTTTACACGTTTTGGAAACTACAATCAGAACTCTGAATATTGTAAAGCGGTTTGTGTGACATTGGTCTGTAAAATGCGCTATATAAATAAACATTACGTACTTACTTACAATCTACAAATCTTATTTGCTTCAAGTGAATTAAATGTTGTACTATTAAAATGAATCAGTGTGAACATCTGAGAAAGGACTAGGGTATTAAACAAAACACACAAAGCAAAGAGAGAAAAAGAAAAAATTCTACGCACCGTGGGAACCAGTTTTGTCCAGGAAGTTGCTGAGGTTGAAAAGTGTGTTTCTAGATGCCAGGAATTGTAGGAATTTCTGAAAAAAAAGCAACAATGTTACTGTTGTGCAGCAAGAAAGTATTAGGAAACGATACATCTATGAAATAATGCAAAGATAATGTAACTAGATAGCATCCTGTACAAAGAGCATATCATTGAACATACTTGGTTTAGAGATGGTAGAAGTGTCAAAAGCAGCAATATTTTTAGTCATACCAATATTTGGAGTATTTGGAGTTTAAATACGTCCATTCACTCCACTCACTGTGATGACAGAAGTGTGACACCCAAATCACTGGTGCATCAAAGCCTCCAGCCATCACCATATATTCACTCTATTATATTCAGACTTATTGTACATATTTTTAGTGGTAGAGGAAACAAGAAAACCCAGAGGAAACACAAACATGGGAAGAACATGCAGCGCCCTGTCTGGAGGTGAAAATCGAACCCAGGACCCAAGTGCAAACCGCTGTGCCACCGAGCCCGATGTCTGTACAGCACTATGAAAGATATGGAAGCCACATGCACTTAAGTCTGGTATAATTGCCTATTACACAAAACACAAAGGAGCTATAACATGACTTCAGGCTATAGTCCTGGAGAGAGCAGTGCTTCTTTCACAACAACAAGCTGAAACTATCGTACATACTATTCATCACTTTGCCCAAATTAATTCTAATTAGTCTTATCAGTGAATGACCACAGCCCCTCAGGCTCTCACAGGAACATAAGGTCATTTGCCCTTTTGCCCAGACAGCTGTTTCACTCCAAGTCTGCTTCACAATTACCACAATATTAACGGTCTGCGACATACAAACAGGGATTAATAACAAAACTGGAGCAGCAATATTTAATATTAAAAAAGTGATAGCAGAATCAATAGCAACACCAAACAACCAGTGTTTTTTTTTTTTTATCCAGTTAGTATTTATATAAATCAGGAAGAAACAGAAACATAATCCTGAGGCTACACAACTATGTCTCATAATAAGCAAAGGAAGGTTTCTCACCCATCATCTGTACTTCTTAGCAAGTTTTCCCGACGTTTCGTCCTCAACCTGGGGACTTCTTCAGGGAATGAATTCTCGGACCGCGCGTTGGAGATTTATAACCTATGGATGTGGTAAGCCACACCCTAACCCTGATACTAACTCGTAAACAATCTCAGGTCTGCTTGATGTAGAAGGGAGCAGGTCTAACGACCCTGCTGAGGCTAACGACCCTAACTCCTTAGCATGTCACAGACCTATTGTCTGCTGGGATGCTCAAGTGGAGTGCAGGTCTCACCCCTCCTAACTCATTAGCATGTCACTGACCTTGTCCCAAGTTAGGGCGTTGTTTTTAGGATGTCGTCATAGATGCGAGGCAAAACAAATCTTAACCCTCCTCCTCTGTTAAGAGAAGGTTTCTGTTTCCTCACAAAAATAGCTTCTTTCACCCCACTCTCTAACCAATTCTTCTCCCGAGCCAGAATTTTAACCTCTGTGTCATCCACCGTGTGGTTGGAGGCCTTGAGGTGGAGATGAACAGCCGACTGTGGCCCACTAGAGTTTTCTCTACGATGTTGGTAAAGTCGTTTCTGTAGAGTTTGTTTGGTTTCTCCAATATAGTGGTCAGTGCACTCCTCTTCACTACATTTAATTGAATACACCACATTGCTCTGTTTGTGTCTGGGTGTTTTGTCTTTGGGATGCACTAATTTCTGTCTTAACGTGTTGAAAGGTTTGAAATACACAGGGATTTTGTGTTGCCTAAAGATTCTTTGTAGTTTCTCTGAAACTCCCGCCACATACGGTAAGGACACCCCTCTCCTCCTACTTTCTTCTGTCTGTTGGACTGTGTCTCTGGCCTTTCTCGTCCTTTGGGTAGTCAAAGAAACAGGAAGTGGAACCATTTTCAGCACACATTAACTCGGTGGACCCTTTTATAAATTTCACTCGCGAGGATGCTAAGGAGAGTGAACTCGCCTTTCTAGATTGTAAGGTCATCATACTGGAGAACGGACAATTAGAGACTGAGGTCTTCAGAAAGTCCACTCACACTGACCAGTACTTGGCTTTTGATTCAAATCATCCGCTACAACACAAACTCGGGGTCATTAGAACGCTTCAACACAGAGCCCACCAGGTCCCCACGAGCTCGGAGGGAAAGAACAGAGAAACCAAACATGTTCAGAGAGCACTTTCCAGATGTGGCTACCCCAAGTGGTCTTTTACTAAAGCCCAAAGGACGAGAAAGGCCAGAGACACAATCCTACAGACAGAAGAAAGTAGGAGAGGGGTGTCCTTACCGTATGTGGCGGGAGTTTCAGAGAAACTACAAAGAATCTTTAGGCAACACAAAATCCCTGTGTATTTCAAACCTTTCAACACGTTAAGACAGAAATTGCAAAACAATTTCAAAAAAATTGCAAAAAGTGCATCCCAAAGACAAAACACCCAGACACAAACAGAGCAATGTGGTGTATTCAATTAAATGTAGTGAAGAGGAGTGCACTGACCACTATATTGGAGAAACCAAACAAACTCTACAGAAACGACTTTACCAACATCGTAGAGAAAACTCTAGTGGGCCACAGTCGCTGTTCATCTCCACCTCAAGGCCTCCAACCACACGGTGGATGACACAGAGGTTAAAATTCTGGCTCGGGAGAAGAATTGGTTTGAGAGAGGGGTGAAAGAAGCCATTTTTGTGAGGAAACAAAAACCTTCTCTTAACAGAGGAGGAGGGTTAAGATTTGTTTTGCCTCGCATCTATGACGACATCCTAAAAACAACGCCCTAACTTGGGACAAGGTCAGTGACATGCTAATGAGTTAGGAGGGGTGAGACCTGCACTCCACTTGAGCATCCCAGCAGACAATAGGTCTGTGACATGCTAAGGAGTTAGGGTCGTTAGCCTCAGCAGGGTCGTTAGACCTGCTCCCTTCTACATCAAGCAGACCTGAGATTGTTTACGAGTTAGTATCAGGGTTAGGTTATAAATCTCCAACGCGCGGTCCGAGAATTCATTCCCTGAAGAAGTCCCCAGGTTGAGGACGAAACGTCGGGAAAACTTGCAAAGAAGTACAGATGATGAGTGAGAAACCTTCCTTTGCTTTGACTAATCCCTGTACGACTGAGGGCTTACACAAACTTATGTCTCATAATAGAGTTTAATGTGATAATACATGTGTTTCACGCTTTGATAACAGTATGTTTGGAAATTATAGGGCAAATCATGAGAACAAAAACAATGACATATGAGGAGAATGGTAGTCATTCTATTGGTAAAGGTCATTCTGCAAATGGAAGGCAGTAACATACAGTAGGAAGTGCTACTGGAAAATCTGGGTAGTAAAACAGGAAATGCAGGTGGTGGGAAGAGCATGTATAGCAATAAATAAAATTTTATTCACTTACTGTGATTTCCTTGGGGTTAAATTGTCGGGTTAAAGCTTCAGTGCTAAACTTTTTGTTTGTCCACAACAGAAAGAGTTGTGCGAAAGTCAACAAGCTCCCTTCCTCTTATTATAAAACATGTTCTAAAGTCTTTTGCATTCTTATGAGAAAGTGTGTGTGTGTTCGGGTTAATTGTTCAAAGTTAGGTACTGCAGCTTTAAGTTTCATGTTAAAAGTACATTATGCAACTTTTTGGTGACATTTTTAGTTTTATATTTTTTATTTTTGCATATTTGACCATGCAGCATGGAGCCTAAACTTTTGATCACGGTTATGTATACATAGGTTTTCTGGTATGGGGTTCTCTCAGCATAGAAAACCTTCCAAACAATTGATCCTATAGCACCAGTTAAGCCAACAGTTAAGGCACCATGCTGACCACAATTACAGCCGCCGGCTCATCACAAAGTCAAATATGCAACAAATATCAACTTATTTTTACATAAATAGTTGCATCGTGCACCTTTAAGGTAGACTTTTGTTGTCCGTTTATTGGAATAAAAACATCTTTGGTAGAGACTCACCTCATTGCCGTGAACCATGAGATGATGTGTGGCGATAAGGGCTTTGAACACAACCACCCAGCTGGCATTCCCAGCCCTCTCCATCAGCGTGTCAGCCATCTGAGGGACGTTCACATTGGTGTCCTGGGTGGCCTGGATCAGGTCTGGAAGTTACAAAAAGAGAAGCGTGTGGTAAAATATGACGAGTGATTCAGTGCATGGTGTGTGACAAGTGCAAGACGTCCAAGATGAAAGTGAGATTTTAAAATAAGCACCAGGCATGTTCAGAGCGGAGGTAGCGCTTTGAGAGTTGACAGGGACGCACTTGGCAAGTATGAAATGAATGACATGGGATAATCAATTAAGAGAGCCAAATTCTAAACATCCAGATTTTACAATATTTATAAATGTTTATTTATTTATATAGCGCGTGAATGTATGCGCGTGTAGTAAAGAGTTCTAAGCTTGTAATACCAGCAGCACCATGTCTGTATCTTGTTATTCCCGAAACAACGAGCAAACTTACAAGCTAGAATCAGTTGCCTCATCATTGGTGTCAGTGCACACATCACAATACTGATTCTATCTATCCTCTGAAGGAATAATGTTTCATGTTTAATTTCTCCTCATTCATCCAGGCTTCGGAAGTATAAATACACTTAAATATTAATAACTCTGAAGAAGCACTGCTTTGACATGCTTCCTGCAACGCTTTGATCAAACACACACACACACACACACACACATTAGACCTTCACACATCCACACACATACACGCACAAGTGAATAATCTCCCAGGGCCTCATGACTCAGCAGCTGCATCATCTCCAGCCCACACTTTAGATTTTTCTGTCAGACTGTCACTTCACTCTGTTACTCCCCCTTTTGCATTGACGCTGGACGTAATCTGGAGCCACAATTTTATGTCTTTGGGATAAAAGATCAGTGTTCAAGCGTGTTTTCTAAATCAGGCAAAAAATATCTGACAAAATGGAACGATGTAGAAGTAGGCACCAACAGCAATAGTAATGATACTAGAGACAGTTTCGGTAATAGTCTCACTGTTTTTCTGGTAAAGCTTTTACGGTTTATTAAAGAGGTTTTTAACATGGATTTTTTTAACTGTAATTTCATTTTAATTGAAACTCTTGTTAGAAAGTCGTGACTATAATTCTGCAGAGTGAAAGGGAGAAAAGGAGTAACTGCAGAAGTATTTTCAGCAGCATCTTCTCTGACTCACTTCTCACATATTAATGATCCACAATACTTATCTGTGTGTGAAAACAATCATGGAGTGAGTGGTGGGAGGTGAAGAGTCAAGTCTAGCACGCTATGCTACACGCTGATCAACAAAATACGTAAAAAATAAGTACGGGTTTAAGGTAATAATAATAATAATAATGCATCGGTTTTATATAGCGCTTTTTTGGACACTCCAAAACGCTTCACATGTCTGTCATTAGTGGGCGACAGTGGCCTTTGAGCCTGGAGGTCGTGGGTTTGAGCCCACCATAAGACCTACTTCACAACTCCCACTGATGACTGCTGTCGTTGTGTCCTTGGGCAAGACACTTAACCCCACCTTGCCTGAACCCCTGCTGAATAATCAAGGCTCCTGTGGACTCACCACCTGCAGGAGGAGGGGAAGAAAATAGATGGATGGATGGATGTCTGTCATTATTCTTTCACTCCATACACGGTAGTGATAAACTACTACTGCAGCTACAGTACCCTGGGGAACAAACAGGAGCGAGCTAATCAGTATGTGCCATCGGCCCCTTCGACCACCACCAACCATTCACACACACACACACACACACACACACACACACACACACACACACACACACACACACACACACACACACACACTAAACTAATTCTATGCAATGGGGGTGAAGTGTCTTGCCTAAGGACCCAACGGCAGTTAGAAAAAAAACATAGAAACTTCTTTTTCACATAAAAATCAACCTTTTGGATTGTTACATTTTTTTTAACACATTCAAATCCAGATTTTCTATACTGTACATCATTCTCAGACAGATGTATACATGTGAATGAAAACAGATGTTTTAATGAAAACTGATCGTTTCATTTGAAGACCTCTGTTTAGTGACCAGTCCCAGTGTTTTCCCTTGCTTCCAGCTCTGCATGCCCAGAATCCTCCCACTCATGGCACGCACCTGCCTGATGCCAGTCTGCCAGGGTGCGCCCCCAACAGAGAGTTAATGTCTGCGTCCAACTCAGCTATTTGGTTTATCATCCTACATTGTTCGTTACTATTATTTATATTAAATATAGGATCTCTCACCCTCATCTATTATTTTCAAAATGGGCACACATCCGGCCTTCTAACATCAACATTTGTGTGCCTCCCATACACATGAAAACCACAATGACAAGGAAAGGAAAGAAATTTCAAGGTAGTAGGGTTGGGCAATAAAACAAATTTAGGCAATTAATCGGCTTTTGAAAAAATGGAATTTGTGAAAAATGTGAAAATTGTTAAATTGAATGAAGGATATTGTTAGAGTTCCAGCAGCACATGAATTATACTTGCATTGTCAGCACAGTCTGTACAAGACTTTTATAATACGTACAGTATTGGGGGAAACAAATTCAAAATAGTTTTGAATTTTTTTTTTTGAAAGATATTTTTAAGGGTAAATATTTGTGACTTTGATGAAAATTAATTTAAAATCAAAATTGTCCAATGCAGGAAATAAAAACGAGATTTTACTTTTTTGCCATATTGCCCAGCCCTACAAGGTAGCATATTTATATTTATAACACAACAGCACTGCATACATATCTCCTGTTTTGTTTATGCAGAGATCAGCTGTGCTCGGAAAAGAGCAGTGGATTGTGGGATGTGTCATCTATGTCCTGAGGTCCTGATACTAAAGGAACAATGAAAGGAAGCAGGCAGACGCTTTTCACAACTGCTTCTCACTCGGTGGACGATTTGGACAGTGCCATACATTTGAATATGAATAAAGACCAAAGAGTGCAGCACAAACAACAGAATTTCAATAATAATCTATGAATTGTTTAGACTTGAAGAACTTCTAGTTTATTAAGGGTCATCTTAGAAGTCTGGGCTACAGTTCATTTCCACACCACAAGCCTTTAAGTTGAACAGCACAGCTCAGGTGGTCATGAACAGAACAACCACACGGCTATGGGATCCCTCATGTAGGGTACCTGCACAGACGGTCAAAGGCAATTGGAACAAGGTCAGCCCTTTCTGATGTTAAAAAAAGAAAACATTCCCTGGAGTTCATTCAAGGTGTTATTGTAATGGCTCAATCACAAGTATTAGCATGGTGGCACAAAAAACAGCCAGGGGAGTGTTGTGGCAGCTACACAAGGTCATTACAGGCATCAGGATTACAGTCTCACAGAGCAACATTATCCACATGAGTGAAGCACGATGCCACTCTGCTGTTACAATCTGTCAGAGATAAGTGATGCCAGAAATGCCCAATAATAAGCCATATACAGGAAAATTAGGAAACACTAAAAAACCAAACATGGATCAATAGTTTGGAATCTTTGAACCTTCATGGTACAAATATAGATACACAACATTGCCCCAATGGGGGAAGGGCAGTAAAAAACTCTTCTTGTCTTATATCTCTGAAATTCCTGAGCCAATCTAATAAAACAAACAATGTCACAAAGTTTCACATTGTCAGTACATAACAAATATTGTCTAGTAATGTTTCTAGATTTAGTGAGAATATTAAAAAAGCCTATGCCTGACGTTAGCCAGTAGAGAAGATCACATACTATAAGAACAAAACAGTTGGTGAGTCGAATCACTATCAGATAATGATCTTGGAAAAAACAATTCAACATGTCTTTAAAAAATGCTTTTGTTCTCCAACTGAGATAGAATTCTAATGAACATGAACGCGACATATTGAAGCCCTACAAAAATCTGCTCCGGTAAAGTCAATTTGCGGAGAAAGTGTTCATATTCTTCATTGTCTACTCCTGTTTAATTCTCTTATTTCATCAAACAAAAAGTAAAAAGCACTGGAGTCGAGTTTCCCACAGTGCTTTGCATCAATAATGTAACTGATACATCGAGAGTACAACTGCTTACAGCCCACAACATACAGTACCATTACATCCCAGAATACTCTTCTTCACACATGGATTTTGCACTCACTGAGGACATGCCAAGGTGGTTTCTATGGTAACACACATTTGTATTTTCACTTTTCGTACATTTTGTTGGAATGTGCGCTCCGATTAAAGGACTTATATCTGCCATGCACACACAACCTCTACATCTTCTCCACCGACTCCCACTGATGACTGCTGTCGTTGTGTCCTTGGGCAAGACACTTAACCCCACTTTGCCCAAAGCCCCCACTGGGAGATCAAGGCTATGCTCACACTCAGAGAGCAGCCGTCCTCCTGTGGACTCACCACCTGCAGAGGGTCAGTGAGGGGCTGGTGCTATGAGACTTGGGTGGCATCTCTGATTGCCACCCCCCTGACCCAGAAATGGATTAAAGGGTAGAAAATGGATGGATGGATGGATGGAAAACAAAAGCGAGAGCAGTCGTGTGAGTGTGTTATGTGTCAGTATGTTCTGCCATTTTCACAGAGTCAAGACAGAACACACAGGTTTATAGATGTGAGCAGGAGTACATCACAGAGGCAGCTTTTAAGGCTCCATTACAAACAACATTAGTGAATCATGAATCTAATTAAAATTGGGTCAAAGCTCTGGGTTCTATTGCGTGCATAGTATTGGCTGTGAGGCTTTGCAGATGTTGCTGGGAACTTTTAAATTTCTTTGGGTGTCATTGATTGAACAATACATGGTTTCTGTTTCCTGTTCTTTTATTTCTCAGTGTATTTTTGTATTGCTCACAATCACGACAGCAGGCATCAGCAGGGTCAATTTGCTAAGAACACATTAGAGAAGCACAATAACAACACACATAAGAGCCATTGGTTCATAGGGAAGAAGGTCCATAATTGTTCTTAAATCTCCTGAATCATGTACTTACTTCTGTTTCCTGTTCCTAGAAATCATTACGTTGAACAAAAAATAAAAGTTTATGATATTCTTAAATCCTTTGCTCTATATTATATTTGCCACTCAAAAATTGCCAGTGACATGAGTTCAGTTTTAATATTTTTT